CCAGGGCAACACTGGGTAGGTCAATGCCACTGCAGCTGCTGAACATGTCTGCGCAAGCACCAACTGCATCGCCAAATCGGCTTGTAACAGTGTGGTCTTCCCGCTTCTGCACGCACTTTCCCACGAACCATTTGGTGGTGATCGGCTGCGATGCAATGGCGCCGCATGCGCTGTCGTGCTTGCCGAACAATGCCTACAAGTAAAAAAAGCCCGACCCTCAACGCATCCCTATACGTATCCCCCTCTGCCAAAAAGACTAAAGCATATTCAGGGAGACTCTGGGGCTGGGCATTTCGGGGACAGTCTGGATTGGGCAATGCAGGGATTGGGCACTTTAGGGAGACTCTCACTCCAGGAGACTCTGGGGCTGGGCACTCAGAAACAGTCTGGAGTTGGGCTCTCCATGGGCACTCCGGCAACACTCTAAGGTTGGGCACTCCAGGAAACTCTGGGGTTGGGCACTCCAGGGAGACTCTGGGGTGGGGCACTAGTAAGGACACTCTAGAGGGGACACTTTGGGGTTGGGCACTCCAGGGATGAGCGAGGAGTAGACCGGGCGAGGAAAAGAGTTCCGGGCAGAGAAGAGCTGAGTTTAAAACCTAACAACAACCCCACACCGAGGGTGGGGAACAAGGAGCCGACCAGGAGCTCCGGCAAAAATTCGTTGCCGGACGTCTTGGACATGTTGGGACTGTTTATTCGAACGCCAAGTGGTGAACCTTCATGGTGCATGTGTTCATCATCCCCTGACGACTATTTGCCTAAGAACCCCCAACGATGAAAAGACTATGATCCCTATTTTCCCCCAATGCGGAAGCACATTTTCCATTTTTTGGAGAGTTCTTAAGCAGCTAGCAACTGAGCCATCGCCACCCTTGAGGCTGAAAGGGTCCCTGCCATAGACCCCCTCTGCTGCACCCAAGCTGCGATGCGATCTTGCATGGCATGACCCCCGAGGTGGCAAGTGGAGCCGTCACTCCTGGATATAGGAAGTGAACAACCCGCCCGCAGTCACGTAAGCCTGCACTGGCCCTGCAGAGAGAATCTTAGGAATCCTAGGATGGATCAGAGAAACGGAGCATGCCTCGAAAAGAGGGATGTCAAGTGTCCGCGCCTGGGGAGTTCAATGTGAAAGCAGCCAAACAGCGCGGGCCCCGCCCGCGTAGTCGTCCTTCCACAGGCTCTGGCTAGACTCACACTATGCTGCCTCCTACTTAGTCCTACTTGGAGATTCATGGTACTTATTAAACCCCATTCAATTATAACCATGTTTGGGCACTTAAGGGTGGGTGATAAGTCCAGAAATAACTGGTTTATGCCAAGTATGCCCACACAATGCAAATCTCAGCCTGTCGCGCCTGAGCTCCGAGATCCGGGCATCGAAGACTTGCGGCGAGTCGCTCACCAGGCTGCCTTGCTGATGTGGGGGTTTACGAAAATAGGGGACCCCCAAAGAAGACCCCCAAACTAGTAGGATCCCCTTTTTACAAGGACCCCCAATAAGGTGCCCCTAATTTCGGAAATCCCCATGTACGCTTGGAGGACGATGGGTCAAAGGATTCTTTCGTGACCGATGTCCCTTCAATCCTGAATCCTGAACATATCCCCAACGAATCCTAAGCAACTTCTTCATTCTTGAGCTCCAAGCTGCAGAAGAACAGGACTTCATCGCCAACGGCCAGGCGCAGCTGACCGCAATCCGCTTGCCGGAAGGGCACTTCCTTTCCTGCAGAGAGTTTCTGCAGATTGGCATGTTCCCCCTTATACTAACAGTCCTTAATAGGGATTATAGTACCCCTCCCCTAAAATAATCCCTATTAAGGACTGCTAGTATAAAGGGCGAACATCCCAAACCGCAGACCACACTGTCAGACTCGCCCGACGTCCCGGAGCGCGAAAACCAAAAAAAAAACAAGGTTGCGCAAGTGCGAACCCCATTCTATGCTAGGCATACCTGTACTGTACCTCAACATAACAAGTACGGACAACGGGAAATTAAACCCTGGACAAATGGCACACTGCAGGTTCTTGCTTCGAGTGTCCCACCAAGGACTGCGTTTTCTCTGGTCCCTCTGGATCGCCCTTGATGGCCTGTGGGGTCAGGGAGGAATACGGTGCAGAACACCCACGCGCCATGCCAGTGTCCACCTAGCAGCCTGGAAGCTGCACATGTCATTTCCTGCTCTTGAGGGCAAGACTGCCTACCATCATCCGATGTCAAATGCAGCTCTCGGAACATGACTTGCGGCATTGCAAGCGCACTTGGGACACGATTCTGGGTTGCCGAACTTAAGGGGTACCTTATTATTCTCTCTCTGAGGGGTACCTTATTGGGGTCCCTTAGTAAAAGAGGAATCCTACTATTTTTTTTTGGGGGGGGGTCCATTTTAGGGGTCTCCTATAAGTCGGAATTAACCCACAGGTGGCCAGAACGCCGTGATGATCGAAATCTCGCGGTAGCTGCGCAACATCGCCAATCCTTCTCATGGGAGCGTGCAGGAGTTTTGGGCCGGGAAAGTTGCAGCGCGCATAAACGGCGCATGTATAAATATACATATATACATGTAGATGTAGTTTTTTCATGTATATAGATATATATATATATAGAGATATTTATTTATTTATTTAGTTGTCTATATTTGCATATATGTATATGCAGATGCAGAAAAACATGAAGACCTACGGATTACATCTCAAGGCTTGGCGAAGATGTGCTGGTAGCCGTCAGATTTGCTGAGGATCATTGGCCGGACGGCCGCCACATGCACGGCTTGTGGACGGCCCTCGCCTGAGCAGAGCATAAGCTGACAGCTGCCACGACGAGTCCCACCTCCCCAATTCGCTTGGCTACGCTCGCAAGCGGCTTCGCGGCCGGGTTTGCTTCAGTAGAGTTGCTGTTGCGCGTCACCTGGAACTTCACAGGCTGGCCCTCCTGCAAAACAAAGGTGCACTCCGCGTAATCCTTCTGCTCGAAACAAGAAAAGAACAACGGCCCCTAGCACTAAGCACTATGCTGGGGTGAGGTGTGTCAGCTTTTGAGGCACGCCTCCTGTATTCACTCTTTTTTTCCATCTGGGCGGGGAAGGGATGCCAGCAAAAACAGCATGCACGACTTGATCCTGGTCATGCTTCAATGGCAAACCACTGCACAACTGGCAGGCTCCTTAGGCACGCCTGAGTCCGAGCCATCCGAGCCAGATGCAGCGCCCGCAACCTTGATCTCTAGCTTGGCTGCAGGAGGCCTTTATAGACGCCTGGCTAACGTCAAAAAGCAGCATCGGGTTTGACGATGGCTCAGCACGCAGACGAACCCAACAGCATCCCTCCAAATCTCCCCCAAGCCCAAAGAAGAAGATGGATTTGGACCAGGGTACGCGATCTTTCGAGGCGGCCGCGGCTTCCTTCCCAGCATCACTATACAACAAGTCACTGAAGTCACTCGTCACCGCGATGACCTCACCCTAATCTGCGTGTCCGAGGCATGGTGCAGTACCTAGTGCCTCCGTGAATGGAGGCCGCGCACAACAGTACATGTGCGCGCTGCGCACACGCGCAGGCACGCACACACGTTATGCACCTCACGCAAGCACGCACACAGCGTGGAGGAGGCTGCGCTCCGCACTTGGCGCGAGAAATCGGCCGTGCAGCGTGATTTGCATTGAAGCAACTTGATCTGCTCAACGGGCCTCCTTTGTGAGGTACACGTCGTGGCCAGAAAGGGCCTCAAACTCGCTGGAGCTAATGTAGCCGGTGCCCTCTTGCTCGTTGTAGGACTTGATCACGCCTTGATGGTGAATTTATAACTTGAAACTTCAGGCTTGGAGAAGGGGAAAGCATTAAGCGTGCAGGGCTTCATGGAGGATCCATTTGCAGTTGAGAGGGAGTTTTTTTGTTGATTCGACGGTGATTGGACTGAATCGGGGCCCAAACCCCACACTCTGTGTGGCCCACCATGTGACAGACGAGGCGCCATAAAAGTACACATTCTCAGTGCCATTAGCTGAAGTGGTCTTCCCCGTCACACCCGCAGCCTGCCGGTGCTGAAATGCTCATTTGCCAAAACCATGTGTTCAACAGTGCTTGCAGGTTCATGGGTACTTGTAACAACAGTTACGGAATCCTGAACGCAAATGACACCGGTCAGATACCGATGTGAGATACACGGGCCTGCGGTGCCTCCGAAGACATAGATGGGCACCAAGCACCAAAAATCCGTTGTGTTGCATGCCCGAACCTCAACTCTCCGGCCGAGGCTTGAGACGACTCGCCCGCCCCCGTGGGTATAAAGGGGCTGCAGTGCCCTACTGGGCTTACGCTGATGACGAGAGATCAAAAACAAATCATTTTCGGGTGTAGTGTAGGGTTTAGGGTTACTCGGTAGCTTCTGCCTAAAAACGCCATCCAAGATATAGTGCCCATCAGTGTCACTTCTGCGGTCTGAGTCTATCCGGCCTCACTGCAAAATCTCCCGACCCCCCCCCTCCCCCCCCGGCCCCCACAGTCAACGGAGATCTACCTCGCAAAATTCTGTAAGATTATTTCGAGGCAGCCTTTGCCTTGCCAGGGCCCACGGACCATCCGGTCGAGGGGTCGTTTGGGGACAGGGGTTAACTCCCTCTTGAAATCTGACACGCATGCCGCATAACGGACTGCAACGCCAGAACAGAAAACAAGCAGTGGGTGCTCGTGATGCAGTGGCGAGCTGCCCACGCCCGGGGATGCCCCAAGCTGCGCGGCGTCTCTGTCTACCGCTTGGGCCCATACAGCAGCGCAGCAGGACTGTGGTGTCTTCTGCTCTCCGTGGCCGCTGCTCACTCAGCCCGAAAATCATGCCAAAATCTGGAGAGTTCCCAACTGGAAGCAACGAAGTCGTGCGTTTCTGTAAGGTTCTGTAAGCAGGCATACTCAGTCATGAGGAGTTGCATCCCGGCATGGCACCACCACTTCACCACCATGGCACCCAACTGCCCTGCATTGTCCAGCGCACATGTCGGCAAGGCCTCGCGACCCATGAGATCCTGGCCGGAAAGCTCCTCCAGAGCACGCGGTTTCTGAGGGAGCCTTTCTGACCAAACCAACCTAAGCTACTACGGCGGACGATAAGGTCAAGAGTCAAGAAGCAGGCAAGGTTAGCATGCGATACGTGCGACGCATATTGGGGAGAACTGCCGGAGAAAACGGCCACCACCTCGCTTGCTAAGCTCAGCTGCTTTTAGCCATGCTCAGCCTGTTGGTTTCGCTTGCAGCAGATCCTGCAATCTACACCCCCCCCCCCTTCCAAATTCAACGCAGCCAGAAGCATAGAACCATGGGAGCCTCCACGGCCTTATCCGCCAGCTCTGCTGTAGCAAATTGAACTTTGCCTGAGGATCCGGGTCACAAACGTGTGTGGTTGCCGTTACATCCTTCCGAAGCTTCGGCCTCTGGAACATACAGAGAGCTCGAAGGCAATGCAGTGTGCAACTCACATGCCTGAACCTTTGGAGTTCCCTGTCTCTTTAAGGCAAGCAGTGTGCAACTCACGCGCCTGAACCTTTGGATTTCCCTGTCTCTTTGTTGGTGAACACTGCAGCGTAGGTGACCTCGCTGCAGAAAGAGCCTAATGAGCTTATGTACAGGCTTCGAGACATGCGTGAACCACGTGCCCATAACGCTGCACCGGGCCAGGCATATTGCTAACAGAGTGCCAGCTGCTTCAAGAGCTGGTGTATCACCAAACCTCCCAAACCTCCCAAACCTCCCAAACCTGCATCCCAGACTCAAGCCCGGCCTCTTTCAGGCATTGTGGAGCGACAGTTTTTATCATCATGATACAATGAGACATCTCTTCATCCTCCGCTGCCTCGGAAGCAAAAATTTTTGAAGTTTCTGGGATTCGGACCTCCCCGACCTGGCTGGCGAAGGCTTTCAGGGCCTCCGAGTCGACGTCCCAGCTGAGCCCTGGAGGGGGTCCCTCTTGTTATAACGCCCCGTGCAGTCAGGGTACCCAGACTGGGGATTACGCAGTATAGGTTGAAAAGAGCAGGCCACAGCAGTAAGGCGCCCGATGAGACCAGAACGGGAGACGTACACGCATCATGTTTCCAGACTGCCAATCCCACACTACAACATGCAGAGACCAGACCATGTTAAAAGAGGATGAGCCCAATTCTTTGAAACCACCCGTCGGTCACATCCTTATTGCTGGTTCGTCTCAGCTTGTCCTCAACGGTAAACGATGTGACGATGCGCCCAAGTTTTTTCTGCTTTGCGAACTCAGGCGAGCTCGGCTCCGCATTACAAACACCTGCACAAACCCAACCCAAAATCACTACGGCCACAAAAAAAGATGGCAGCTAGACAAGGAGGTGGGGGGCGAGGGAGGGAGATTGTTTCAATTCTTGTGCAAGGTCTGTTCACCTATCAGTCGTTGGCTGCATGCAGTCGGGGGCAAACCTGAAATCATGTTGCCGAAGGTTCCCCTACGTCCAACACGTGGTACATCTTGAGCCCGAAAACTGGAAATCAGCTGTTGGTGGCGCTATGTTACATCACTCATTGCTAACAGTAGACTTGGGTCGATGGTCAAGTTTAAGTTCAGGGCTGTGAATAGCCTAGCGCATCGCACATGCATATCTCAAGCACTGGACGAAAGACCTAAGAGTCTTGGCACAATGCCTTCCACGAACCCCTTCCACAAGTCCAGTGCTGCTTCTTGTTTCTGTTTATGTTTTCCGTGTCGCCACGGCAAGCTGTAAGGAAACAAACCCTAAACCCTAAATGCCCTATAACCCTTGCCCTATAACCCTAAACTCTATAACCTATACACCTAGACCCTAAGCACAAAGCCCCCGTCAAATCGGAGTCCCAGTACGCAGGGCTCGGCGTCAGAGAGGAGATGAGGCGACGAGACGGGAGGGTAGCCTTTCGAGCCATTCGACTAGCGGCGGTGACCTTTTACCGCGAGATGAGGGTCGGTGTTGATTCAAGGCCTAAACCCTAAACCCTAAACCCTAAAACCTAAACCCTAAACCCTAAACCCTATTCCCAACATGGTGTGTGATGACACGCTGCGATCCAGCCTCCCAGGAAGATCGTCCGCCCATCGGGTGCTGGGGGCTGCCGGGCTTCACCTGCAGAAGAATTCGTTTGAGGTGCTAGCAATGGCTTCTATGGAGGTTTACGAACATATTGGAGCCCCAGTTGTAGACCCCCAATAAGATATCCCTTGTTTTGAAAGGGCACCTTGAAGTTCGGAAACTCCGTGTTCGGGCATACGGCCAGCCCTCCTCAAGTTTGCAGACTTACTACGGTGCATCTGCACAACTGCCGTACATGTACTGTACACATTTATGAGAAGGAAACCCAGCGAATAAAGATGAACCAGAACACGCTTCCAGCTCCAATGTTCTTCATTGCCGAGGCCCACACGCAAAAACTCTGTCTGAGATAGGCGTGGACTCTTTGGTGTCTCTCTCTCCCTCGCACCTTCTCTCTGTCTCTCTTCTTTCTCTCTTTCTCTTTTTCTCGTTCTTTCTTTATTTCTCCCGTTCTTTCTCTCTTTCTTCCTTGCCTTCTTTCTTTTGTTGGTGCATGGGGGTCATCCGGAACCCACCGAGCCCCCTGTCAAGCCACGGCTTCCGCCTGGTCGGCGGAGGGACAAACGGCCGCCCTCCAGCTGCGCACCCTCCAAGTCCTGCTCAATGAAGCCAGAACCCTTTTTTGAAGCAACGCCCTAAACTTGGGATGTTCCCCCTTATACTATAACAGTCCTTCATAGGGATTATAGGACTACCCCCTATTATAATCCCTGCCAAGCGCTGTTCATATAAGGCGGGGAACATCCCAACCCTAAACCCTAAACCCTAACTTTGGGCTTTCCGCCAGAGGGGAGAGCAAGAGAGGAGAGCAACTCCGGGAGTTGGTTGTGTTCGTGAACCTCGAAGCGCATTAAAAAGGGTTTCGACTCTCACACTGGCATAAGCGGGCGAGGCAAGTCCTGTCGAGATCTCCAGAGTGGGTGCATTGACCACCAGTAATGAACCAACCAGGGTCAGCATTACCACCGACGGATATTCAATGCCAAGCCACAATACTAAAAAGGGTTTAGGGTTTGGGGTTTAGGGCCTTTCAGAAAAAGGCTGCCTGCAGCACACCCAGCGAGTGCAAAATTGTCCTTAAGATGCGAGATGCATTCCGTGCCCACGCCTTAGGTCAGGCATCAGGCTTTTCTTTTACTACTTCCAGCCGTCCTGCAGGGCTCTGTCCAGAAGATCTGAAGAGGCCAACCTGCGTTGCCCCCCAGTGCCGAAGCGATGCGGTTTGTAAGTCTGGGCAACGCAGCATCCATGAGATTCACCTACGATCGAAGCCGAAGCCAAATCTGCCACTAGTCTCTCACTCGTCCGTCACTGTATGGCCGCAAAGTGCTTCAAAAACTGCCACCCTGAGCATGCCCAATCTTGCTTCTTGCATTTTTCCCCCGACATCTCCCTTTGTGCCCCATCCCAGTCACGCATAGGGGGGTTTCCGAAAAAACAGGGGTACCCTTTTTGGGGGGTCCCTTTAAGGGGAGTCTATTCTACTTGGGGGTATGTAAGGGGTTACCCCTCTTTTGTGGGATTTACCCATATTGGGACCGCCCGTGGGCTGCTCTGAGCTCCGAGGTGCTCGAGTTTCGCAGTGCATTTCGACTCGCCGGTGTCGTGGTCATGGAAGACGTTGCAGTACACAACCTCGGCTTGGCCTACTAATTGCTCAAGAGCCACCCCTTCCCCCGCAAAAGGGCGATAACTATAGGGACTGCTATCTTTCTTCTTTGGGGTCTTAAGCAGACACTATGATCAGTGAGTGCAGGTAGGAAGTTGGGAGGACAAACGCGGGCACCACTCGACAAATAACAGGGATAGATAACGCTAGCACGCCACGCGTTGCATTCTTCTAGCCGGGAGCCGGAAGATGTACGCACGAACCAACACCTACAAGAGGCCGTTGTATTGTCATTGTTCTTGTGGCAAGGGCTACTTGTTAATCTGGTTGTAGATAGCTGGATGTAGAGCACTGGGGCCGATGCTGATCCATCGCCAAGACAGGCTTCGCAGAACTCTCGCAGCAACTGCACCAAGAACATATTTGGATGACCTACACTAGTGGACATCAAGCACTGCATGCCGCCATCTTGAGGCACCGAAGTGGGGGTTCACGACAATCAGGGACCCCTAAAATGGACCCCCAAATACTAGGATCCCCTAACAACAAGGACCCCAACAAGATTTAGGGTTTAGGGGTTTAGGGTTTAGGGTTCCCTTTACCATAAGGACCACAATAAGATATCCGTTCTTTGCATGCAGGCCTCTGAAGTTTGAAGTCCCCTAAGATCGTAAACCCCCCACGTGCCCATGACCTCGGTTTGTGTGGTGGGCGCAAGGCCAGACACAAAGAGCTGGCGGCCGCCTCACAGAGCACAGACCGGTTTAGGGTTTAGGGTTTAGGGTTTAGGGTTTAGGGTTTAGGGTTTAGGGTTTAGGGTTTAGGGTTTAGGGTTTAGGGTTTTGGGCTTAGGGTTTAACATGATTGCTTCCCGGAAGCCTCGATGCTTGGATGATGACGCATCTAAGATTTTAAGACCTCCACAATGTCTCTACAAGAGAGACCTGGACGTCTGAGTGTCGAGCTGTCTGGGGGTCCCAAGCCCGGAGGTGGCCGCACCGGACCGGACCTGAGGCATCACAGGGCTCTCAACGATCTTAGGGTAGTTGCATGGTCCTGTAGTATGAGTCCTTAAATACCCTACAGTAAACTACCCCTTAAAAACGAGCCCAGCCTCAAGGCCTAAGCGGGGTGTTTTGCTACAGGGTGCATGGCAGTGTGATTCAATACGTTTCAATGTTCGCAATGAATGCCTTGAGAGCCCCTTGACTCAGGACATGAAGGATGCTCCCCCCTTAAACGAACACAGTCCTGAATAGGGATTTGTAGGGGGTACTAGAATCCCTATTAAGGACTGCTAGAAAAAGGGGCATCCCAAAAGGACATTCTCAAGGCACCTCTCCGGCGGTCGGGCCTCCATGATTTTCACCTGAGCTTTGCTATATCAGATCCAGCGAATCAACTGGGGGGGGGGGGGGGGGGGGACCTTAATGGGGTCGTCTTTATGAGCGAGTCCTGCTAAGGCTATTTGGGGGGTATATTTAGGTGTCCCTTTCAAGAACTTCTCCTCGGTAGCTAGAAGAAGGCGACCCGAATCTGCAGGCTGCAGATTCCCCTCAACCCTAAACCCTAAAGATCTAGACAAAGAAACAGACAGAGCTTTGCCACGCTTTGGCCAGGCGGCGTGGACCGATCGGCCATCAAGCTCCGAGCCGTTCAGCTCCTCCAAGAAGCAGACAATGAAGGATATGAAAACATACTGGGGGTTTACGATAATTTTGGTACTTTGTCAGGGGCGTTTTTTATACTATTTGGGGGTATATTTAGGGGTCCCTTATTTTCGTAAACTCCCATATACCTATTTATCAGTCATCTCGGTTCGATCGTCCAGGCGCAAGCTAAACATGAATGCTTCTCCGTGGCGCGGCCTGGACCGCACGTTCTGCATCGCGCGCGGACTGGAACTCCACCTTCCCCGAACCTCGGGAGACATACCCATAGAGAGCCCAATACTCCTGAATTAAGGAACATACATTAAATCACAAAGGGATCCTTATTATGATTTAAGGAATATTCCTTAATTAAGAGGTATTGGGCTCTTAGGGTACGGAGACAACTTTCCGCTGCAGAATCTGGGCATGTCAGCACAGCCCAACGCGAAACACTGAAGTCACTGAAGTCCAATACCCACAACGCCCACCTCGCGGCTTCCCGGTCTCTTTGGCGGTGAACACAGACGCCTGTGCACGCGTCTGAGGATGTTGGAAGATCTTGGAAGCAGGAAACTCATACATACGTACATACATATATATATATATACATACATATATATATATATACATATTATATACATATATGTGTATATATATATATGTTGCAAATAGGCGCCTGAACGACTTTCGCCACTCGGCTGAAGTGCTGCTCTAAGCCTTGCCAGGGCAGAGCTACTGGTCACCCAACTTGTCTCTGAGATCGACCCTTTCACACACTCCAAACTCTTACTTCTCCGATAACCAAGGGAAAAAAGGTTAAACTTTATTATTCCTACTAAACAAGGAAACCCAAAAAGTTTAAAGTTCAGCTGTTGGAGAAGTAAGAACTTCGTGGTTCAAGCTTCTCCTGTGACAATTTGTGACATTTCAAGGTTACTGGGGGCTACTGTCGCTTAGATTGAGGCCCCTCAAGCATTAAGATCAGCCAGCCCAAGTCGAAACTAAACTCATGGGTGCTGGCGTGAAAAGCTTTTGCGGAGGCACACGCCACGCATGTGAGACAAGCCTATGCGCACTAGCTGTCGGGTGTCTGCACTTCTTCAACACCACTACTAGCTGCTGCAGCTTCACGTCGCGCAACAAGCATCGCAAGCTTCCAAGCGCCTTGACTGGTGGTGCTGAAACTCAAGCCTCCCACGAAAACTGTCGCATCCTGAGGGGTCTGTGTCTCATCTGCCCTAGCTTATCGAGATGATCTGGCTTGGAAACAACACAGGCTGAACGCAAGAGAAGCAAGGAGGCACTCCCCCTGAACCCTGCATCGCACGTGAAGTTGCAAACCCCCCCCACCCACCCTCCCGCCAACGTCACGAGCCGGTGCATTCTTGCCGTGCTGAATGGTGGATCCCCAGCCGAGAGGTCCAGTTCAGCATCGTAGCTTTGTTACACCAAGCTTCCGTCTGTGCCTTTGGCCGCTCGGCGTCCAGGCGCACAGTGATGCGGTTGGAAATGTAGAAAGTCTCGTTCCTAAGCTGGGCATATATTGGCCGATGCGTGGATCTGCCGCAACTTCGCTGCCGTCCCAAAGGCAGCACGCTGACAGCTCGCTGAGCTTGGTCTGGTGATGCCTGCAGACTCTGTTGGAGCTGGCTTTTGATGCAGAAACTGAAAAGAGCACATGGTTTCAGAACAACTGCCCAAATGGCACATGTGGTAAGCATGCACGTACTGGCATGGAGGTCTCTGGGACTTGGGCCAAGGAAAGGAGAAGAACAGCACAACAAAAGGTGCGACATGTCGCAGGATTAAGGAGGTGACAAAACCTGATGTGCGACCTTCGTGAGCAATGTCCAGGACCGGTGCATACAAGCCGGATCAACAAGCACCCCAACCCAGAAATGCTTGTCTGTCCCGAGATGTCCCGAAACTACCAGGCAATACGTGCAGGTGCCATCACCGCGCGGCTGGCAGTGTTGCCCGCACCCGTCTTGAAGACCTCGCAGCCCCGTGGAGATACGCGAGAAAACGCACATAGACCCAACACGCGCTCCGGCCTGCACGGACAAGACCTCACCGGCCTGCTGCAGCAAGTCTTGCACCTGCCCCTCGCTGACCTGTTCCAAGGATGAGCAAGTATGCGAGTAGACAAGAAGTGGACAAAGTCACTCCATTCATCGCCGTGTCGTTGTGCTCAACAGGCTGAACAGGCTGACAGCAGGAACATCGAAGGTGGCTCTGGCTCGGTCTCTCTGCTGCCCCGTGTCCTTGTGCGACAGGCAGCCCAACTATTACCTTCTGGGTGCCTCCAAATCATGTAACGGTGTGCGAATAATTTTGCGAATCGAGTAGTAGAATAATAAAACAATAATAGGAACACAGAATACTGGAAAAATTGGAAAAACGGAATAATGGAAGAACGGATTCATGAATCTACTAGGGTACTAGAATGCCATAATAATGTGGCAAGATAGTCTGATAGTCGCTTAAGGATAAACGTCTTGCAGTAGGTACTCTAATGGAGGCCCCCTCAACCCGAAACCGTTGCGTTCGGGTTCAAGGTTCATCAACTGCTGCATCTGGTCGCCCCAGCCTCATCGGGAAGGTTCGCAATGAAGATGCGACAACCTTTGAGGCTTGGCTTGACGGCTACAGCGTGGAAATACCCTAAGGGCCCAGGTACCTATATAGTGTATACTTGGGCCCTAGAGGGTTCCCATAGAGTAGCTTTAGAGCCCCAAGTATATTAGTATGTAGGTACATGGACGCTTTGGGATACATGCCTTATCAGTCCCAACGCCATGAAGCGAATCAGCTGGGAAACGACTTCGTATCAGATGGACGATGCACTAGCAGTTTAACAACTGTTTGCGCATCATGCTTGCAACTTCAATTTCTGCGGGTTCTGCGGCACCAGGCAGCTTCCTTCTGCAGGTGGTCTCAGCGGGCGATCGCGCCTAGGATACAGCCATTCATTGGGCGTGGCAAGACAATGATGCGGGCCTGATGAGTCTTCTTCACCATGGCCTGGGGGGGGGGGGTGCTGACTGCAGATGGCTGTACAAAGCCTTATGGAATTCCAGTCTGAGCGGAGAAGCTCCATCATCCGCGCTGAAAGATAGCTCCCGTCCAGCAGGCGGCCATTCAGAGCCTGGCTTTGGACTTTCGGAATTTCGGAGTTGAGCCCCGATTACGGAGAGACCCCAACCCTAGTGGCCCTTGTGTCCCAGTCCCCACCTGGATGGCGGACTGCGCCAGCTGCGGGGAGTCGAACTCCACCTTCGCGGTGCCCCTGGACTCGCCAGTGTCACGGTGAGTGAACCTGCAGGGGTTTGTGTGCTACTCAAGCAGGGTGGAGGATCTCCTCCGAGCAGCCCCTGCAAGAGGCCTCTTCTACACAACCGGGAAGATAGGTAGGGTCGGCCGCCCGAGGCTGACTTTGCACACGCGGAGAAACTGCCATGGTATCAGGAGCATGCAAACTTGTCCAGTCTCGGATCAAGTGGCACACGCGCGTTGGTGACGGGCCCCACAGTGAGCTCGCAGAACTTCCGCAGCGTATCCGAGTCGGTGCCTTGAAGAGCAGATGTTAGCAGCAGTCACCTCAAGTCGCACCAGAAAAGCTGGGCTCTGGGCTTGCAGAAAGCCCGGACAGGAAGACCTTGAAAAGCAGGGGGAGTCTGCTCTGTAGCCCCCCAGCAAGCAAGCCACACAAACACACACACACACACACACACACACACACACACACACACAAAAACACACACACACACACACACACACAAAAACACCGCTGCCGCCACCACCACCACCAACACCACAACCACAATCAGGCACCTACCTACAAGTACCTATGGGCACGTGACCCAAAAGCTCGTGCTCGTGCTGTCCATATTATCATGCCTTTGCCTCACGATTGTCGAGCCCTGTTCCCAATGCCGCAGCACAAACTCAGTCAGCACTGGCTCATAGCAAGAATCGTGTGCCCAGTTTTCTTTGCGATGCCGGCAAGGTGCCTGCCGCCCATCGATCACGGGCGGCGGAGCATCTCGCAGTGGCCGGCCTTCATGCGCCTGGCGCACGCAAGGAAGGACTAGATGCCTTGCCAAGGGGTGAGTGAGCTGCAGAGAAGATCGAGGATGATATCCGGCAAACGACAAGCTGCGTGTCCCGTGCTGTGGGCAGGTGCCTGGCTGAACGGCTCCACGGTGATATTCCGACCATTTACCTCCTTCGGTTGGGGTTTTGTGCCTTAACTTAGGCTGCGCTACTGTTATCGCCGATGCCGTGGCTTCCCAACACAGCAGCAGAGCTGCCACAAAGGCGGTCACGACACTGGCGGCACTCAAAAAACACACACTTCAATGGCCAGGCCTGTCACAGCCTGAGATGTCTCGCGAAAACACCAACCAAGTGACGCCGCAAAACCGAATCCTTTCCCTGGAGGTATTTCAATGGAAACCTCTGACCATGAGCCCATGCTTCGTCCTTGCCATTCAACTCACTCACTGCCTTGGACATTAGCTCTTCTGTCTCGAACTCCTCGGTGTCAAGGCATCGCCACTTCATAGGGTGAAGCCAGAGGGGTTGGGCAGCCTCATCGGATGAAGTTCTTTCTTTCTTGGGGGCTTGAGGGTTGGAGCCACCGCGCAGTCTGCGCGCCCCAGCCTCTCTCCCTCTCTCTGCATCAGGGTCCCTTTCCTAGGGGCCTACATACAGGGAGCCGCTCGGCTCTTTAACACATCAGTGATGATCATGCTGGTGGGTTGCCCCAGGAGCTGTAAGCATCTCATCGAAAGCAAAGAACACCTCCAAACGGACGGCTCCGAATCTGCTGGCATACCCGCAAGATTCAAACCCACCACAGCATGCTCAACGCAACACGCGCATTTTGCCCCGAGAATATACAATGCTACATTATATGTTGTTAAATGCGACATACTATTACGACGATTTTCTGTACTCTACTACACTAATTCTACTCTACTGTACCACTATACTAGACTGTACAATACAACATTATACACTAGACTACACTACACTATATACTTATTCGCTCTAGTGTATCATGACGCCAGGCTGCCACCTTGCCACAACCCTTCGAGTTGCCACTCTGGCGATCTCGGAAAATCCGGGCAAAAGTCACCTGCGATTCTGTTGACAGAGCAGCTTTTGGGGCTCACTGAGAGGGCGTTTGTTGCTTTATCTCCTGCCTCCGTATATACCGCCCCATTCTGCGCAACAAAAAAAACAGAAGTCCCCCAAACCCTGAACCCTGTAAGCCTGCAACTTGACCACTTCAGCCCAAAAGCCGCCCTCAACCCCGAGCAAACCGCGGGTCACCGGGCCAATGTCCGAGACCAGGTCCAGAAGGCCGCCTTCCGAGGGGGTTGGGACCCGAGACCCTCGAGGGTTTGGGGTTTCGGACGGGTCGGGACGTACAAGGCTAGATCGTAACCAAAATCGGCACCATGTCCAGGCCAAGAAGCCAGGAAAGTGAAGTAGTACAGCATCTGAACCAAAGAACAGCGGGAGTTCTAGCCAGGTTGCAGCATCCCTTCTGCTCAGGGCGACTACGTGACTCCACAGCTTCGCACAAAGGTGGTATAGGTCCTGGCTGAGTTGAGATTGAGAGCCGTACAAGCGCAGTGTACCTAATTCTCGCCACTTGGCCTAATCAGAATCATCATACCTTTGTGGCAGGACTGGGGCTCTCGGCAAGCGGCATAGACACACCGGGACCGGCTCGATGCTGTTTGAATTTCGCAATCTGCGGTTCACAAGGCTCACAGCCTTTCAATCCTGGCCTTCGTCCATGTCAGTGGAGAGGCCACCCACGAATGCAGTGCGGTGGGAGTTCAAGACCTGGGAAGAGAGCCCCTTCCAGATGCGCTGTACAAGATTTCAAAGGCAAAGGCCACATTGCATGAACTGAAACCCAAAAAAAAATGGGTCACGCTCTGGGAAACCACTGCCTTGAGGCCCGCATTGAGATCCACCGAGAGCCAGGAGAGAACATTCAATCTTTTCAGCACAAGTGACCGCTGGCGGACGCCGCTGCGCACCCTGCAAAGGGGTGGAGGTAAGTGCGACATAGGATGACAGAGGACACAGATCGACACGGATGGACACAGATGGACACGAAGTTGACGTTTTCTGGGAGAGGCGCCTCTGAGGCCATGGGCTCCACTGTGACGGCGCGACCTGCCAGGACCTGCCGGCCAGGCGCAAGGTGCCAGGATAAGACAAAGGGCTTGTTACCAGATGCTTCGCAGCTCGCAATCCACCCTGAGGCCCGAGATGCTGCACAATGGACTACTAAGAACTGCTACTGGCACGAGCGAACACGATCCAGCGCCCACCTTGCCATTCAAGAGCTGCACTGCCTGCTGGGCTTGCTCCAAGGAAGCAAACTCCACCTCCCGCGTCTTTGCTGCAGGCTTTTGGCTGATGCCAAGAATGTTCAACCGAAATCTGACATGGATGATGCCAGGTTTTCTGGGCCTTGCCACAGCCGCGTGAGAGACCCGTCCTGAGTGGCAGCCCTCACTTCCACAGGGTGGTAGGGTGGAATCTAAGAGTTCCATGGCCACCAACCAAACCATCACGGAACAATCCCACTTTTGAAGAGCCCACCGTCCAAGACACCTATTCATGGCGAGGCTGACGATCAAGTTTTAGGCAATGATTGGAGCTGTTCAAGAATTCAGATAAGTACAGGGCTAGATTCTGGCTAGATGAGCTAGAATGATAAGATTCACTGGGATTCGCAAAGAAACTGTGGACACCTGCCCCCCACAAATGCCCCGAGTCAAACTCGAGACGCACAGAATGTGACTTGAGGGTTTTTTGCCACCTGCCTAGCAGCCTCACAACCGCACTGCAGGGACTTTAGGGTCTGGCACTCCCGACATGCCTCTTGCGGGCAAGTCTCTGCCGGTCTGTGAAGATGCGCACGAAGCCCACATCCCCTTAGTGCAGAGTCGACAATGCGACTCCGGCGTCAGCGCATAGTGGTGGCTTCCAAGGGTGCGGGCTACTTAAGCGGCAGCTGGAGATGCTGACTTTCAGAAACAGCTTCATGTACAGCTACAGTCTTGAGAGGGCGCTCAGAGTCGCTCTCTACACAGACTTGAAGCACAGCCAGTGTTTCAACGTTAAACGCTCCCAGTTTTCTTACCACATGACGGCCACACAGCTCGTCACACCCAAGATGAGTTGTGTCTCTGCCAGCCTTTACCCAACACTAAAGGTTTCACATCCTCTTCCAGTCTCAGACTCTCAGACGGGACACCTGCTTCTGCAGCAAAGGCCTTGAGCTCAAAGCGCCCCACCTGGCTCTGTTCTCCGTCGCACTCAGAACTGTCGGAGGAGGTGCAAGGGGAGAACCAGAGGGCCTGCTGAGGATACGATGCTAAACGTCTGTAAGCAGTTTTGCTCCCACGTGGTCCCAAGTTGATGTCGCCCCCATGTCAAAAAGAATTTTCGTGCACTGCTGGAGCGACATCGCGTGTCTCCAATCGGAAGGATCCGAGATTTTCAGGCCAAGCTTCCTCCGTGCCCAGGTTGGAGACGAAGACGGCACAGCCATCGTTGTCCCTTCGCTGCCTTGGCGACTTCACAGCGAAAATAGTTGCAACACATTACGGCGGCAGGGGCTGATGGCACTCCCCAGTCTCTTCAAGGCTTCAAGGTTCGTGAGGGTGCAATGGCAATAACTTGGGTCAAGTCAAGAAACTTCGAGGACCTAGGCACAGCTTCCAAAATATGGATACATGATCATTTAACTGCAGTCACGTGGCCACAAATAGGCAGGGACATCCGCCAAGCTTTGCAGTGTAATGATGCTGCCATCAAGCAAGGTCCCGCTCAATTCGCGGATCGCCCGCTTTGCGGTCTCCTCGAAAAATCATGGGGGCTTCCCAGGCCCATGAGACAATGTAGGAAACTAGAAAAGTCGGCAGCAAGTGGCTGAAAAGCAACGGTAATGAACTAGCTGTCCGTCGAAATGCAAATGTACATGAACAAGCAGCTCCAGCATGCTCAAGCAGCTAGCCCAGCCGACTCGTGCTGGAGACGCTAAATACAGACATGAACATAAGGTTCCCCTCGCCTCGCTGTCAAAGTCCACTTTTGCAGTGCCGTTGGGGTCACTGCTGTCCTTACAAGTCCAGAAGCAAAGGATGGAGAGCGCAAAATGGTTTGTGACATTTTGTGACAGCTGTTGAGACTTGCCGAGATGCCAGAAGCGCGCCCCAGACTACGAGATGTTTCACTTCTGGCTACAGAATGTTCCTTCGATGCGGCTGTGGCTCCGAATCCATGAAGATTGAGACGTACCGGACTTCGCCAACCCCTGAGCAAGTGGGACGAGCAGGGGGCCTCATGCTTGAAGTAAAAGAGTCCAGACCAAGGCACTTCTTTTAGCCACTGGCCCAACTAAGAAGCCAAGCGCTGAACCCCTGACACTGACACCCCCAACCGCAGCCCGGCCTTGGCAGTACTCGCCCAAAGTCTCTGGCGCAGTTTCGCCGCTAAGGCCTGCTCTTGCCCCGACGTGCGAACTCTTGTTTTCATTTTTAAGCTCCGATATGAGACGAAGGCGCGCTGCGCAACTGCCGCTCGCATCGATGTCTACAGAGCCGTTGTCTCGCGTCGGGCACGTCGGCGCCACCGATCGTTGCCACACGTCTGATTTCAGTCACGAAGGGGTTGCGGACTGCATCGCTATTTGCGGAGCTTTGTGAGAATCCTGTGAGTGCTCTATGCGCGCAAGCTGCGCACACTGCATCCATGACCAATCGATAGTCGATGTGTGTTCCATCGTACCCATGTCCGAGATTCGAGGCCCTCTATCCACGATCGGATAACGAGGGAGCTGAGCTAAGCTATGGGCAGGACGAAGTTCGGCAAAGCTCAACATCCAACTGGACAAGAGCCACTTTTTTACAGCCTTACCTGAAACCCCGACACTTCTGACCGAGGCCACCAGCCTTCCCGGTCCCCCACGCCATGAAACTACAGTTGCAGCCAGCAGAACCTGCAGCCCTTGGCCTGTGACAAAGACTTTGGACGTGATGTCACGCGGCAGACGCCTGAGACGAAGCTAGAAGCCACTTCAGAAGCCGGCTCGAGTCGGCTAGAGGTAGGCACCACTTGACAAAACGACGATGCATGGCTGTGTCTGCCGCTCTGCAGCTGAATGATGCTGGTACTTGGAGGTTCATGGTACTTATAGCCCAGTTCTAACTGCACCTATAACCCAATCATAAGCCCCTTAAGTGCCCTAACACGCTTTTAATTGGGTTATAGGTATAATGGGGGTAGCAATTACCAGCGGCGCGCACAACTGCTCGGGTCGCCGTGGAACGCCCCTTCAACACCCCAGATCCTTGAGCTGAGTGGATCTTTGAGCCAGATCAGACTTTGTACTCATATGGGCTTCAAAGACCAAAGCAATGCCTGCAACCTTCACATGATCAATCCAGACATATCCAGACCATACGGCCAGTTCGCTCAATCATGCTCCCTGTTTGGTTCGGTCAAAATACGGCCACCTATGTTCAGGGCAGGTGTACGTTAACAGGGCGTGGGATACCCAGTAAGAGAACGCAACTATAAGGAATTGAGATGACCACACAAAACATCACCACTTTCCCGCCCAAGCAGCCGCGCACGCGCCGGTTCAGCAGGGGCCTCCACGCAGGACACTTTGATTCTGGATAAGTGCCACTGAACAGGTTTGTGTCTACCAGGTTTGTGGCAGTCATCCGCTTGAAGGACAGATTTGCTGACGTAACCCAGTCAAACTCACCCTAAACCCTAAGCCCTAAACTTTAAGCCCTGGACCCCAGTTCATTCACCCCAAAGTCGAACTCAGGCGGGAAGCTTCGGGCCTCCGTTCGTGCCTCTTGCTCTCTCCAGGCATCTTCGAGGACAGGCTGACAAGGGACAGCATCACCCATGTCGCCCTGTCAGGGAGAGCGCACATATGCCATGACGAGCTGAAAGGACCTCTAGCAGTACGTTAAGGATCCCAGAAACTCCAACTGACCAGAGATAGTAATTGACGTATGAGTTGCGACCATCGAAGCCCCCCCTCCATTCGCAAGGATTCACATCGGGAGAACTCACATGCAAAGAGCTTGCGAGTGGGTATCCGATGGGGCCTCCTCTTTGCCGACCTGCTCAGGCGCATCATCGCTTGGAGTCTCCTGGATGTCTATACATATCTACAAGCGCCCTCTAAAGTCCAAGCTTAAACAATCTTAGATGGATATCGGGAGGCAAGAAGGTTTTGCTTCTCTCTGCGTCTCACCTGTGGATTTGCCACCACCTGCTGGCCCCGGCTAACGACGTGCGAGCTGTCCTCCTGGGCACACGGCGCATCGTGGCATGCACAAGGCCGGGGTCTGTTCACGGTTGTACTCACGCTCACCTCTGCAGGCTCCTTCGATGGTGGAACGGAGCTCCGCCAGTCCTTCCAAGGGTCCGGTGGCTCTCGTCGCGGCGGCACCTCCCCACTATACCACCCCTAGATGCCTTGGATCACTGAGAAATGTATGGCGGGAAGGATGTACGACGGGCCTGCGCAGGCTCCCGCGGCCGTGACGCTAAGCTGTGCCACTCCTTCCAGGGATCCTGCTCCCGCAGCGGAGAAGAGGAAACCTCAGCTCACCCAGCACGACTTCAGGATCCTCGCGTCAAACTTGTGGACTTTTTTTGCCACGTGACTTCCTCCTCCACTAGCTGCACAGGCTGCGGAGAAGGGCTCTGCCTTTCCCTCGAGGGTTCTGGCTGCTCCCGCTGCAAAGGAGAAGCCTCGGGAATACTTTGCCACCCAGGGGAGATCACCACGATTACCGCAATGGCTCTGGCCGAAGATGCTGCTTCGTTGGGGTACGGTCTGCAGCTGCCCTCATTTCGATGTGTCAGTTCGGGGAATCATGCTGGTTGAGGTTGTTGTTTCGTTTATCCCCTAAACCCTAAACCCTTTTGCAACTGGACTCCTTGCTGCCCTAAACCCTAAACCCTAAACCCTAAACCCTAAACCCTAAACCCTAAACCCTAAACCCTAAACCCTAAACCCTAAACCCTAAACCCTAAACCCTAAACCCTAAACCCAAACGGTCGGCCTCAGCTTCGCGGGGTGCTTCCGGTGCCTCGGGTCGGCGAGGCGGAGAGTCCTGCGGCAACACCACGATATTAGGATTTTATGAGGATTATATAAGGATCATATAAGGATTATATAAAGGATTATATGAGGATTATATAAGGTATGTTTAGGGGTTATCGAGGGATTCTACAAGGATTATATAAGGATTATACACGGTACGAGTATGTATCGGGTTATCCAGGGATTCTATAAGGTATATATAGGATTATATAGGGGAATAAGATTAAGTGTCCCTTCTAGCAGTCTCCGGGAAATGGAAAGAAAAACATCGCTGGATCTCCGGGGCTGGGAAGTGGACTCGCGCATCCAGCAGATGTTGAAGACAATCGCGCACACACACACACAGAGACACCATATATATATATATATAATTGTATATATATATATATGTATATGTGTATGTATACGTATTCACTATTGACAATGAAGCTTCCACGCACCTCGTGTTGCCACGGTGTACTTTCCGCGTACGACGGCGGCCAGCTTTGCCAGCTGCTCCATGGCCACTGGTCCTTCGGGGCAACTCTTGGTTGCAATTTTGGTGGCTTCTTCTTTTTTTTGTGTGTGCGGGTGTGCGTGTGTGTGTGTGTGTGTGTGCATGTGTGCGCATGTGCTTCTGAATGGGATTCTTTCTGCAGGTGTGGGGATGGGTCGGGACATGTAGTCTTCTTCTGCTCTCCCTTATTGTTTGTCTTCTTGTTGTTCTGATGACGGAGTGAGTGAGCACGTGAGCGAAATGGCCCACAGCTGTTTTTTGCGGCCTACACCATCCCCCCCCCCATCCCCCACCGTGCATTGCAGAGCCGCTCCGAAAACGAGCTGTGATTGTTGTTTGGGGTTATGCATAGGGTTCTTATGTCTTGTGTGTGTCCTCTTCTTCAACTTCTGATCACTGTGATTTATTATTGTTGCCATTGTCTCTTCTCCTTCTTGTTGGCATCTGTTCGCTCTTTCTTATTGTGATTATCATTGGTCGTCGTCAGTCTTCGTGTTCGTCTTCGTTACATTTCGCGTGTTCTCCATATTCTAACATTCGAATTACCTTTCTTTGTCTTCATCCTCTTCGCCTTCCTGATCTTTCTTGTTCGTTACTCCCCCGGCTCTTCTTCTTGACCTCCTTCTTCTCTCCTCTTCTGTTTTCTCTTGGGCGTGAAGGGTTCGCCCCCAGGGCAGCACCACCCGCGCCTGTTTCATGGAGGGCTCTCCGAGAACAAAATTGCTGACTACGGCAAAAAAAACATGCAGTTTCTTTCTTTGTTTCTTTTTTCTTTCTTTCTGTACTTATTTCTTTCTTTAGGCTTCTCCATATCTTTTTTTCTTTCGTTCGTTCTTTCCTTCGTTCTGTCATTAGTCCCTTTCGTTCGTTCTTTCGTTATTTGTTTCGTTCTTTCTTTCGTTCTTTTCTTCGATTCTTTGTGGGGCTTCCACTTCCCCACGTCGCGTCAGGCCCTCTCTCTCTCTCTCTCTCTCGCTCTCTTCGCTCTCGCTCCCTCTGCCCAGTATGATCGGCAGCTTTCTCTTCCAGCTTGCCTGGCTTGAAGTCAGCGAACAGATCTGTCCACTCAGATAAGGCCATGTTCTCATGCCATTGCATGCAGATTACAAAGGCGGCCTCAAATCAGTTCACAGGCACAAGCTGGGCAGGCGATCCCAACACCCACAGCTCCTCGTACGGCTTCTTCCAATAGCCCCCCCAGTCGTTCCAAGACTGTCGCCAGTCACGCTCCTTCCGATAGCATGTTAGTGTCGGCTGGGCGAGCTCTGAAGTCAGCAGAGCGACAAAAGTGAATCAACGGTCCCCACACAACGCGCAGCCCAGCCATGATGGAACTGTGCTTGGCTGGCCTGGTCCCAGCCGTAGCCACGCGACCACCAACTAGGACTCCAGCTCCACCAGCTGGAGGACCTTCAACGCAGATGGTCGCAGTGTATTGTGGAAAGCCAGTATCTACACATCCAAACCAATCCTGACCAATCCTGACCATAAGCTGCCGCTAGGCACCAGGTATAGGGGCGCCAGGAAGCCTCCCATCGCCACTCAGCGGTGTAGGGGCCGTCACCTGCCACGATCCCGGCGCCGCATGTGTCACATGTGCAGAATGGTGTAGCGCAAACAAAAGAAAGCAATGAGTGCATGCAAAAGGGCAGACACACACACACACACAGATATATATATATATATATGTATGTATGTATGTATGTATGTATGCATTATATATACATATATATAGACACACACACATACACACGGCGCAGTGCACACGTGCGCACATACGTCGAGCACCCTCTGTAAAAGCATGGCCAGAAATGGCCATGGTCTGTGCATCCCAGAGGCCTGAAGTGCCCTCCCTCCAAATGAATACAACAGCCATCCCGATGGTCAACTTGAGTTATGTGTTTGGCTACCTATCTCGGGTGGTCTGCTTCGTGGACCATTGTGAACAATAACATGTTTTGCATCATGCGCTGAAAGATCATGGCACTCAAAGCCTCTAAACCCGAGAGTTTCCTGAGAGTTGCCAGCCAAGTCACCCCAGGAGGCCGCGGCCGGTGGAGGATCCTCAGCCTGGAACAGCGGCGCGTTCTGGCTGGCTCTGGTGTTAAAGATTGGGGGCTTGAGGGTTTGACTCGCTCTGCTAGAAATGGTTTGGAATTGTTTACTTTGTTGTGTGGCATGTCTCACGTAGCTCGGCTCCTTTAAGAACAACACGAACAGGTTTGTTGAACATGATTTGAGTTTTTGACCTGATGCATGCCTGTTTTTGTGTAATATTTGTGTATATATACATATATATATATAGATATTTTGTTTCTCTGCCACCACCACCACCACCACCGCCACCACCGCAGCCGCCGCCAACCACCCCCACCACCTACCCCCACCACCTAGGCGCACCAAAACCCCCCCCCCCACCTATACCTGCGGAATGTTTGGGTTATGGCGTTATGCAGCCCCACCACCCACCACCCCCCACCCCCCCACACTACGTTTTTGTATCATGGCTTGTGCCAGCTGGCGGTTGGCGAGCGGTGAAGAAGCTCAGTTGGAATTCTAGCCTGCCTGTTCTGAAAGCTGACATACCGGCATGAAATAAAAGGACAGCTACTGGGACACTGCTGCATGTGCAACCTCCTCGGCTCTTTGCCGCCCTGCCCCTACGCTGGCCCCAGTAGACCTACCCAACTCATATCGGCCAAGACGAAATCGTGCAGTATGCGAGCCGCCCACACTCAGTCCTTTCAACCTGTGACGTGGCCAGGACTTTTAAGCGGACGTCTGCTGATAAGATAAGATGTTCGAGGACGCAGAAGGCGAGCCATCATGAACTCGAAGGGGTTCTACGGGGAGAGCTGTTGCAAAATACAAGACGCACAATGACAAGAAACGATCGGATGGGACTTTTGAGATATAACCTTAAAATCCTCTGAATCTGCATGCTCGGGTGCCGATTGAGCACTCAACCCCACTCAATCGGTCCCGGATTGAAGAGGGAAGATTGAAGATGCCCTGTCCAGAGCGAAAGGAAAAGGAACTTAAATCTTAAGGATTGGGGGCCGAGTGAGTGGATTGAGTGCTCAATCGGATCGGGTATCGGTTTGGTTTGAAGATGTGCTGGAAACTCGATCTGGGGACCCAAAAATTGATCGGATCGACCTGGCCGATGCAGCAGATTCTGCGTGGCCCTAAACCCTGCTCTTCAATGATTGGCAATACGGAAATGTAAAATATGGCCCGCTTGAGCAAATTAATTTCCCCTCCCACTCCCCTAACAAGGACAAATCCTCTGATGTGTATGAATCTTCGGATGGTGCCTTGTTTTCCTCAGGTTCTTCTTGGATGCCTGCCCGCGATGAGTGGGTCCCTGCGTCTGAGGCTCCAACCATCTATGCCCTCGGCGTCCTTTGCGCTGAGGTCATGGCAACCATCGTGCTCTGGAAGTGTGTAACATCTTCTGCCACTGTACGCCGTCGAGGCTTCTTCTGAGGTGCTGCAGATGGATTGGCTGAAGTGCTGAGTACTTCCTGGGCAGAATCTGACGTGCTCCTCTGATCTTCTGGGCGTGTGTTCGTGAAGTTATGTTTGTTGATGTTCCAGGTCCCCGGTCCGGCCCCGCAGCATCGTAAGTCCAATTGAAACAATCTTCGTGCCGAGATGTGGCGCGCACAGTAGAAATATGTAGAAATCAAGCACGAGTTTGATACAAGGTTGCGATTGCGCAGGCAAGCCGACAAAATCCTGCGGTCCAATTTTGCAGCGACGGAAGACTGAGATACCAGGTCGCACAAGGCCGCACTCGGAACAGCCGCAAGCTGCCACTTTGAGCCGTAGGGTCCAAGCACCGGCCGCACTCAGTTGGTGATGTCACCCTGGTAGTTGAGTGGAATAAGCGACCTGCTTCCGCGGATGCAGCTCACGTCACATCTAACATCAAGCCGCCATCATATGCGAGACCCAAACTCGCCGGGCACTTGCCTGAAACCTGGCTTGGAGAGGCCCGCAACCATGACCAACGCCTTTTGCGAAGTGCCTGACAGGATTGGAAAGGACGAGACATGCTTAGCAGAAACGGTACCGTGCAGGCCGGGAAGGAAACAACTAGATCACCGGATCACCACTGGTGAACATGATACATCAAGCACATGACATAACAAATTCAGGTCACATTTCTTGCCTGCTTCCCCGTCCTGAATGGCGGCCGTTTCTTTTGCCTTCGCATACTGTTTTCTGAGGTGTTCCTGCATGCAGTTGCCGGCTGGGGTTATTATGGCTCCCTTGGCTCAACCCGAAGTACACGTGAAGTGACATGACGATTTTCGATGTAACATATTGCACAAGATGTACAAGGAGCTGGCATTAAATGCTGATACCTCTGTCTGCACGCGCACATGCAATCAGGAAGGCCGTAACACCTGAGACAGTGGCGCGCCTGTTTCCCTCCCACAGCTGTCCTCCTGGGCCCTCATCCGGCTGTAGGTGCTCGCGGGCGTGAGGGGCACCCAGACCTACATTCACCCGGCACTTTTACACGACGGCGGCATCATGCACTAGGAAGGGCCATTCTGCAGACCAGCGGCTGATCCAGGGTCCATGGTGCCGTGCCACAGGGAACCAACCCCAACACAACCAAGCTTGAGCTGGAGGTAGTATGCACCCGTGCCGGCACAACCCTCGTCATCACGGTTGTCACAGTCGATTTGGGATCTCGATCGCATTTGGAAAGTTTGCTTGATTCTTGGAACGGAAATGTGAGGTTAGGTTGCGGAGCTCAGAATAAACGGTCCCTTGATCTCCAGTTCACCTTTCGCCTTTCGCCCTGGGTCCCAACGTATTACTTGAGAGCAGGGCGAACGAAAACTAGTGCCTACAGTAGCTTTTTTGAAGCTTTTGTATCGGATACACGAAGGCAGCACATCTTGCTCTCTCAAAGGTGAGTTTGTTTTCTTTTTCCTCGCACCTTTTTTTCCGCCAGCCGGGAAGTAATGTTGCACCCGCAATATTCTAGGGGGCCGCTATTATGAAAAGTTTTCCGGCTATTCAGGATCTGGACCCTCTTTTTTTTTTCTGTTTTGGGGGTCCGCAATAATGAAAAGATTTCTTGCCGGGCCTGTTTTTTCAAATGGTTTTTGAGTCAAATTCTTAGTTTGGGATCTGGTTCCAAAACCCTGAAGAGAGCTCATTTCTCTGCCCCCCCCCCCGTCCCCCCCCCGTGACTGTTTGGGGCCTTTTTCTATTCAGGGTCGCGACTGTTGAGGGGGGGGGAGGGGTTACATTATTGAAGCAGGTCCAACATTAACAGCTTCGGGGGGTCACTGGGGGGGGAGTCAGCGGGCAGGGAGGCGGCTTGCGGCGACCGGCCGTTCCCAGCGCCCGTCAGCGAGGAGCTCATGAAGCTCGGGCTCGCTGTCGTCGCCGTTGGCCTCGCCCGCCAGGGGCAGCTCAAGGAGGGAGCTGGCGAAGGAGCGCTGCGCCGCCACTGCGAGCAGCGCAATCCAGCGGAGATCCATGCTGCCCGGGCCGCAGGTCGCAAGTGCGCCGGCACAGTCGCAGTCCAGTGGTGCGCAAGCAAGCGGAGGAAGGTGGCTGCTTCAGCGCCGAAGCGCCCCCCAACCTCAAGCCCGATCACGACGAGGCGGCAGCGCCGTGCCCGCTGCAGTTCCGGATGCGTGCCCTGCCTCTTGCGTCTCGCTGCCGCGGCGACGCAGTGGCAAGGCTCGACGCCAGCCCGCGGTTCCCCTGCACGCGTCAGCAGCGACACGAGGGTGGCATCGAGGGCGAGTTGCGCGCCATGCCACAGGGGGAGCCCGTTGGCGACCACTTCAATCCGCCGGTCATCGGCGACGGGCACGTCAATGTTCATGTCCGCGACACGCACATTCCTCGCGACGCGAGCGCCGCCCCCAGCGACCGCTCGTTCGAGCGGCGCGGCGCGCGCGGGCGAGGACCCCCGACGTGGCGCAAGCGGCCCGGTGATCGCCAAAGGGGTCCAGCCTACCCCCACAGCTGCAGGATCGCGGAGCGAGTGGGAGGGCCAGGCGCAGCCGGCAAAGTAGCACGGCCTCGTGGGTGGGCGAGACGGTGAAGGCGCGAGCAGAGTGAGGCCCTGCTTGCGAGAGCAGCAGCGCGCAGGACGCAGGTGGAAGGTCAGAAAGCTGCGTCTCACACGCGCGCTCATCGCACGCACGGGCGGCTCGCCGCTGCCAGCCCCGCAAGGCATTGCCAGCATCATCCCCCCCCTCCCTCTCGTGTTGGGGGCGCGGCCGCGACGTCAAGGACTGCCGGCCACACAGGCGCGGCGAAACCAAGGTCGCAAAGGCGCTCCCGCGCGCTGTTAGCAGCGGCGGCAGAGGGCAGGGGGATTCTGCCATCGAGGGCACTGAGCAAGCGTTCAGCAGCCCCGGGTGCCCGAGCCTGGATGACGGGAAAGGTGTCACACCAGGAAGCCACAGGAAGCCCAGTGCGCAGCGGGACGATCAGCCCTGCTACAACCGGAACCGGGGTCTTCTACGGCATCCTTACAAGGCTTGGAAAGTTTATAGGGCATCCTTACACATTCTACGAGATGCTTTGAGGCATGCTTACAAGGGTTTTTAAGGCATCCTTACAGGTCTGGCAGGGCATTTTGTAGAGGCTTTCCGGACTTGAACTTTACTTTACTTGCTTCGAGAACAGTTGGAGGATAGGGACAGGCTCAAGGTCTTGGAGTCGTGGGGGTGGGTTGCCCGTAGTCCTTTAGACTTGTTGTCTTCACTGCTCCTAAACCCTAAACCCCTTTGACTTTTGGACTTCAGGGCTTCAGGGCACCCTTTCTGACGTAGGACCTGTGTGGGGTTAGTGTGGTTACCCCTAATGTTCCCAATTAGGGTCAGGGACCGATGGGGTTAACAACACCACCAACACCAGCACCACCCCCATGACAAACCGCAACCAATCTCGGAGATCACAGGTGTTTGCCTCATCCCTGAATGTCAAACCCAGCTGCTGGCATCAGCTCGTTCATACTGCTAAGCAGACCCTTTCGCTAGAAGACTCGGATCCAGACTTTTCAGAGCCACGCAACAAACTAACATCGATCGATGAAACGACCGGCAAGCCATGTCTACAGCAAGTTCGTGAAATGTGTGAAATCATACGCGACGCGGGAAGATGCTTTCCAAAAGCTAGGAGCGGTGCATAAGCCATTGCGGTCGGGCTGTCAAGAAAGACGGCAAGTTGACCTACCTACGATGTCGCTTACGTCCTAACTGTACATGGGCAGCGCTGCTTCGCCAGGAGAATGGTGGGGCTGTGAGGCTATGGGCGCACCCTTCCATGTGGAACAAGCACATCGAGGGCCTGGCATTTGAAAGCAAGCGAGGCTTTGCAAGCTTGGCAGAGCTCCTCAGCAACGTCCAAGCCGCGAGCGGCGTTTCGTGCTACAAGGTTAGACAAGCAGAAGCTCTTTTGGCGACAGTGACCGCGGTCCCAGTGACATCCTACTCAGGTCGGGTTGCCGGCAGCCGGCTGGCGAACGGCGAGGAGCTGTCCCGGACCTCAGCGAGGATCTCGTGCAGGTCGGGCCCAGCTCCTGCATCGCACATGTCGCCTCCAGGCGGTAGCTCAAGGAGGGACGATGCGTATGCGCGCATGGCCGCGACTGCGAGGAGGCCGGACCAGCGCTGCACCCACCCTACGCTCGCGGCGGCCCGGAGTTGGGGTGGGAGACTCGCAGCACAGTGGCGCGCAAGGTGGCGGAGGAAGGAGGCGGTTTCGACACCAAAGCGCCCTCCTACCTCGACCACGACGAGCCGCGCGCGCCGTGCGCTCACAAGCTCGCGGTACGTTTGGCGCCGCTTTCGGCGAGCGGCGGCCTGCACTGCTGCGCCGGGCGGGCGTCGGCGCCCGGCTGCGGCATGCCAGCCCATGTAAGCGGGCTGACGATAGTGGCGTCGATAGCGAGTTGCGCCCCGTGCCAGAGAGGTAAGCCGTTCGCGACAACTTCGATGCAACGTGCGTCGCTGACAGGAACATCGATGTTCATGTCGGCGACCCTGACATTGCGTGCAGCTCGCGCACCACCTTCCCGGCATACCTGGGAGACTGCATGCTCGCTGGACGCCAACACCCTAGACGTGGCACAAGCTGAGCGGTGGTCGCCCGAGGAGTCGAGGCGTTCTCTGCAACGGCAAGTGCGGGGCGCCAGCAGGAGTGGCAGCCGCAGCCATCGCAAATGGACACGGAGGTGAGCGGGCGGCAGGGCAACAGCTGCGGACGTAGGGAAGACTGTGAGCGCACGGCCCGAGTGGGGTCCAGCTTGCGACAGCAGCAGCGCTCGGGCGCGGTTGGTGCGGCCCCGGCGCCCCAGTCAGAGGTTTGGAAACCAACCTCACGTGCGCTGCAGCCGGGCGGCATGCCTGCGTGCGGCGCACGAAGGCAGGCTAGTAGCTGCGCCATGTCTGCGGGGAAGTGCTGGGCAACGCAGGGAAGGCATCCTGCCAGGAGGCCCAGTAAGCGCCGTTCGCGCTTGAAGCTGCTAGTTGCATTGCTTGAGAAGAAAAAACCACGTTCCGGGCGGTGGTGAAACTGCGGCTAAAGAAGCCATTGGCATATGCAGAGCGGGTGTTGTTGAATGTGCAGAAGGTTCGAACCATTGTACTGGCGGATAATTGTACGCCGGAGCAGGCGGATAATTGCCCCCAACCGAGCGGAAGCCGCGCTGTGGCGAGGGCATCTCCGCCGACAGCACGGGTGCTTCCTCCCCAAAGGGCAGAGTGCCGAGGCAATTGTTCATGCTCACGAGAATAGTCGGCGGATGTCGGCGGTACAATGCGGCGGCAGCATGCGGAGGAGGTAATTGGACAGCGCGCCGAGATGTCTGCAGCAGAGCTCGGGTCTGCAGCAGAGCTCGGGTCTGGTTGGAGCGCGGCGAGGTTGGGCGGCTCCTCCCCTGCCGCGTTCCAAACACGGGTCTTGCCTTGGTTGAGTTGGACCCGCGCACGGTCCATCACGGTCCCAAAGCACGCCATACAGGTTGGAAACGCGCTCAGGAACGCTGACGATGTAAGTATCGTCGAGGAAGGCAAAAACACCCTCGCCTAGCTGCAGCGCTGACGCGACATCGTGGACGGCGGGGTGCTGAACTACTGCATAGAGCGCAGCCATCAGGGGGTCACCTTGCTCTCCGCCCTCCGCATGCAAGACCTCGTGCTCGGTCCCCGCGTCGTCCGTCCAGATGTAACTGCTCTCGCTGCCGTAAAACTGGCGAGCAAATGGCAGGCGAGAAGCAAGCATAGCAAGCTGAGGCCGCGATCGCAACCCCTCGAGCATGGCCTGTCGGGAAATATGGTCGAACGCACCGACAGACGGCATGCATGCAGCCTGGAGAGCGTCGGCGAAGTGTTGGGCCAAGGCTCGGGCGACAAAGCGGCGAAACTAGGGCACGCACACGGCCATTCGGCTTCCGGAGCGCGACGAGTCGCCCAAGACGCACGGCCGCCAGCAGCGCAGCGCTGCTTGGTGGAGCAATGCGAGGTCTTCGTCGGTGCAACATGGGGAACGGGTGTTCCGGGCACGAACAATGCCGCCGAAGCAACGATAAAGCGAACGCGCGTGGATGCTGGTCAGATCGCTTGCTCTGTAGGTCTTGGATCAAATGCAGACTGCATCGTGAAGCGAGTGGGTTTCTACGGCGGATCGGCCAATCTCCGCCCTGCAAAACTCCTACGGCGCAGACTTACACAGGAGCCGATGCCAGTCGCCAATTTTCCTTTGCCCTTGTGTTCGCCACGCTCGGCTACTTCTTGGGTTACACCAACGAGACCATGAACCTTGGACGCACCCCGGTCAGCTTGATTTCATGGCGCTCACGACGCTTGCGGCGACAGGCTTCGTTGTCGATCTCATGTGGAAGCGTTGAGCTATTCCGAATATCTTTTTGGCGCCGCAAGTCGTCGTTCATTCGGTTGGCAACCCAGACAATTCGCATGCATCGGAAGATATCGGAAGAGCGCGGATTACAGTCTCCTGTCGTCTGTCCATGCGCGCAGATCTGGAATCGATTTAGGACGCTGCGCATCATTTCGCAATTGAACATGGTCATTGCCTTACTCGCCTGGAGCCTGCATTGCGAGACGTCGTCGGGGCTTTCAGTGCCAATAAGCGGTGGTCCATTTCGTAAAGAAGATGTTCTACAAGGGCCTGTCCTCCAGCAGGGGAGACCGTGTTGCCGCGCCCCGTGGTCAGGTCGGGGTGCTGCAGAATCAGAATGGAGATCGGGTCGAGCTTCTGGAAATGGCATACTTTCGCCTGCAGCGACAACACTTTATGTCTGTGAGCCAGTCGTCGCGGCCAGTGTGAAACACTGATCATTGATCCATTCGTTAAACACTGACGATCAGTACCTTATGTTACTTATGTTTGTCCGTCATCTTGCACCACATATTTCTCTTACTCTTGCATGTTTCGAGCCACACGGTGGCTTGGAAGCCAACAGCCATGTCCGGAGACATCGACACGAAGTAGCGACTTGCACGAGTTGTAGCCACCTGTTCGCTGCTGCCTGACTTCACAACAAAAGGTACTTGTTCTTCGGAGATAAGCGAATCGTGCGCACACGTGCGATTCGTATCGTCCGAAGGTGGGTCCCTGTTAGCGTCCCCCCTTTTGCCAGGGTTGCGATCTTGATCTCCAAGGCCCCCGTTTTAAAATTGGGAGTTCGTCTGTTGCAAGTTCTGTGCTTGTGGGGTCTGTCGGGTCCCATAGATCTTCTTTTTGGCAAGTTTTGTCGTTGCGGTAGGCTTTAATAGTGTTGCGTGTGTTCTTCGCCGGATGCACCTGCGAAACGGTCCATCACTGGTGGAGCGGCCACATTTTCGGTCGCATCGCGCTGACTCCGGTGGTGTCTGACCGCTTCTTCGGTCGCCGCTCAGCCTCATCCGATCACATCCTTCTCTGTGTCCTTGCCGTGGTGGACGGGTGGGGTAGTTTGCTACTGGCGGTTCTCGCGGCGGGTTTTCTGCATGCGCCGCTGTGTGGTTGCTGTTCTTGTGCCCCCTTCACGAGTGCGATCGGCAGGCACACCGTCCCTACGGCAGAAGTCTAGCATGTCGATGTTGTTGAGGGTGGTCCGCAGTTGGCTGGATCGCAGCCACCCGCTTCATCGCATAGGACACTGCCCGACCCATCTCGCTGATCCCCCTCAATCTCTGCCTCTGCTTCACTGCGTCCTTGCCTGCCTGTCCGAGGTTCTTCGCGTCAGCACCATCGCGGCAGCCGCGCACGACGGCATGCGGATCTTGCGGAGCGGGCGAGGAACCGATAGGCATCACAAAATCTCCCGCAAAGGATGGCAATGTCTGTCATCGGTCGCTGTTTTCACCCTTGCAGAGTTCCCCTTCGTCTGTGGCTTAACAATACCCCTCTCGTCCAAATCCTTTCATTCAATTTTGTCCGCCGCCCTGATCTAAGATGAGCCTGCTGTCTTTCACAGAGCCCATTGCGCGCGCAGGGCCTGCATTGCAGTCTGCGCATTCGTATTCATAGACCGACCGTTGTAGACATGCCTGATGAGTGCGGGTTACGTGAGGTACTACATGGATTTAAGCAGCACAACAAGCATGGAGGCGGGCCAGTGAAGCAGTATACTCTGAAGGTGTCAGGAGCGTCATTCCATGCAGATTGCACGCGCAGCAGTGGCTCCGAAGAAGACAGAGGGGCGATGCACATGTGGCATGCGCGGATGCTTTTGGAGCTCTTTGAGTCCAAGAGTGGTGCAAACGCACGGCAGGTGATCTCGGTTTCTTGGGTCCAGCTTCCTTTGCTACTCCTCTGCTGTCAAGGGCCTCCGTGCGTTTAAATTCCGAACTAGAAGATGGGGCCAGGGCAACCTGTCATTCACAGAATGTGCTTGGCACACGTCTGTCTAAGATGCTCGGCGAAAGAGACCCTTCTCAAGGGATCTGAGAGGGACTCCATTTCGAGCTGCACTTGATGTTCAGAGGCAGCTCACAGCAGGTCGAGCAGATTTGCCTCAGCACACACATGTCTCTTTCTTGAGGGTCCAGGATGGCCTCAGGGTTTGCGACACTCCCTTTGAGACCCTTTCAAGGATTCGCCCGATCTCTTTGGTGCCCAGGGATTGCCGCCCACTGCTCCTCGATCAAAAAAGCGACACAAACACCCCCAAACCCCAAACCCCAAACCCACAACCGTCCCTAAACCCTAAACCCTAAACCTTAAACCCTAAATCCTAAACCCTATAAACCCTAAACCCTAAACCCTGAACCCCTTACATCTGCTGAGAGAGCCAAGCCCCGAACCGAAGGCCCCGAGCTTGGCTGAGCCGGAGCTGCCGCAGCCGTCGGAGCCAACGCCTGAGACACGGAAGACTTCGCAAAGGGCCTTCTAGGGTTTTCGGATGTTTTTGTTTTTTTTGGCGGGGGAGGAGTTTTGGGGTGTTTTTCAAGGCTTTCTGGGTTTTAGGGGGTTTGATGCGTTTTAGAGGATTGTAAAGGGGTTTCGTAGGGCTTTTGCGGCTTTAGCGGGTGTGACAAGGTTTTGACAAGGTTTTGTAGTGGTTTAGAGGGCTTTATAGGGTTGACAGGGTTCGGCAAACCAGGATCTGGTCTCCTTCCCCCTCCTCCCCTGTATTGTGGGACCTGCCCGAACCACTTGGGCCGCCCCCACACATGAACCCTTCGGATTTCTCGTACCCAGGACTGCATCACTGGCTGCACAAAGCCTCAAGCAAAAACGTGCCAAACGGCCACAATTCCCCATTGAGACCCTCCTGGAAACCACCCGAACCTTCCTAGCTTCAGGGAACCCTCCGATGCCGTATGAGGCCTTGCCCCTGAGTCCAGCCTGCACCAAGTGACATATTACATAACTTTGGTTGTTTTAGGCCGACCCGGCTGCCGAGACGGCGCGCAAGCTGTTACAACTATTCTTGTTGTTGTTGCTGTTTGGCCAAGGCGCGTCAAAGGTCGGCGCCGATCCGAAATCGGCAAAATTCGGCCTGGCAAAGCAACCAACTCTCAGACACTTTTACCCACAAAATACACGGGGTGCCCAGCCCACTTGGGGGAAGAACGTAAATGTCGCAGCACTCCTACCCTCGCCCTCTTGTGGCTCTACATAAATGTGCCAGCCAACTGGAGCGGGAAGGGTCAGCGCATGCTCCGGTGTTTTGAAATCCAGAAAGAAAAGGAAAAATCATGGAAACCCTGGAAGTCAGGAATCAAACATGCCCGGGCTTCGCGGCTGCCATGGGAGCCGCAGGTGCGGGGAATCCTGTCGTTCAGCTTATATAGTCGCTTCTGTCTTGCTGCGCCGATCTGTTTGTTGGCCTGAGGGCACAAGGACATCACACAGAAGTCAGGAACAATGTGGTACAGGGCATCACCGCTCGAAAGTACCCACGGCCAACCGGTCCTCCATTCAATGCAGCTGGCGCAGGCTGCGCCTCGCAAATGCATGCCCAGCACATCGCTCTCAAGGACCATACAGGGACACCATCGGCCTGCTGCGGCATGCTGCCGAAGTCAGCGAAAGATGCGAAAGCCAAAAGGTTTTGACCTGCTCCTGGGATCAGGAAAGCAACATTGTCCATGGCCCGGTGGATCGGGCAAAATTTTCCAGCCGTTAAAACCCTCAACCCTCCCCCAAACTCCTCCTTCTGGCGTCGCTACGGCCGGGGCGCTCTTCGCCCGAGACCTCGGAGCTGAGAACCATGTGGTTCCCTGAACTATAGGGTGCCCTCTCACCTCTCTTTTCATCCTTCTGTGGGGATGCCTATTTCCATCTACTTCCCCACCCTCGACGTGGGGTTGTCAGGATTTATGTAAGCCAACCATTCTCGTCCTCCCAGAGTTCTTCTGGCCTGGGTCCCTGGAGTGCAAAGAAGCCCGGGAGAGTCCCGCCGAAGCATCCCAGAAGTGCCCACCCTGGAGAGCCCGGCCCCAACAATCCCGCAGGGCATCCGAGTATCCCTGGAGTGCCCACCCCAAATCCCGCAAGGGGACCCGCCCCCAGAGAATTTCGCGGAGAGGGGATGATCGAAGCAAACAGGTCATCTGGGCCTCTGTGAACAACACCTGGCTCAAAGCCTTGCGGGACCCAACCTTATGGAACCCTAGAGTGGAGGGCCAGGGACCCCTACATCCTTAGCAAAATCCCCAAAAGATCTCACGACCTCAGGAGCCTGGGAGCCTAAGCCCGGAGCGGCGTCGCCGGGCCCAGAGCGATAAGATCGTCCAGGGCAGGGCTCGAGGCGGCCTGGTGAAGGCCTGCAAAGCTTTGAGCATTGGAGTTTCTAAATCTCAGGAGCTGAAAAACTTAAACGGACTGAATCAATTGGGAAAACCACACTTGGGAGACACATGGTCGTGCTGTCATGCGCAGCATGCCCTGAGAGAGGCGTGCGTCTTGCAAGGTCACCACCGACGCACGACAGGTGCTGTAACTACTGTCCGGTCCCGCTAAGGAGGTGGTAGATACCCTCGGCACAGACAAAAACCTCGAAGGCCTTGCTGGTGAGAGCCAGCATCCAGGGATAGCAGATCCTCTTGCAGGCCTGAGCTTTTTGGATCAGTCCCACATGCTAGTTGGGCTTGGTACGCTAGCATTTTCAGGGGCCAGGCTTGGAGGTTTCGCGGCTGCCTGGCGGACCATCCAGGGATTGGCTATCAGCACAGCTCTGGCCGGGAACATTCTCACTGCAATGAAGTTAAGTGGCAAAATTCTAGCCACAAAGCCTCCACAACCCCAAGCTCTGATGGCCTGTCGCCGCCCTCCTTGGGAGCTCTGGGAATAGCCTGCGGAGTTCGGCCCTTTCCCACGCATGGTTCGGCCAACTGAAATTAAGCTGCAGGGCCGTGACCTACCGGGGACCTGCCGCTTAGTCTTGATAGCGCGTGGAAAAAGACTACCTCGTCACCTCATGGAAACAGAGCTTGCACTTTCGGGTGCTGGGGTCGTCCTCGCCCCCAGCGTGCCGCGCACCCACTGGAGGCGACATGTGCACAATATTTCGGCTCCAAATCAAGTCCGTGTGCCCTCGCCACCGTTTCCGCCACATTCGCATTCTGGGGGGGGTAACTCCCGGGATCACTTGGGGGCCCCTTGAAGATTTCGACCGACATTTTTACAGATCCCGCCGATCTCACTCACGACCACGAAAGATGACTCCGAAATGCTTGGCCTCCGCTTCCGTTAGTGTCCGGAGACAACGCAAAGCGGACGTCAAACCTCAGCATTCATCACTTGGGCTTTTCCATGAAGGCTTAGAGACCAGTCCAACCGCAGCCATCACACCTTGAGACCCAACCTCTGCTTCGTGGTGTCTTTTGCATGAGCTCGTTGAGACTAGGATACCAGTACAAATAGCACGAAACCAGCACGACCAACATGCGCGGAAAATCCGGGTTTGTGGGAACTGGTGAGATCTCATAGATCTTATGGGTTCGGGGCTTCTAAGCCGAACCAGCAATCGAGCCGCTGATCTACACTCTTGCACCGCTTGAAACATACATACCACCGTCTTAATAGCGTCTTGTGCAGTAATGCAGGCTTTGAGCATCGATCCACTGACAAAACTTTGCAGTGCCGCCATGACAAACAGCAAGTAAAATTTGACTTCGGTGGCTTCTCCGCTCAGCCCCAAGGACCCGGCCCCTGGGTCTCCCGGACTTTGCCGTTGGGCTGACCATTGCTGTGGCTCGCTGCCACCTTGGCCAGGCAAGGACAAGTAAAGGTATTATACACTATATATTATAAATTATATTTTCTACATTATCGATTATACATTATACATTTTACATTATACAGTATACAATATATAAATATAATAAATTATATATTGTACATTATATTGTACATTATATGTTGTACATTATATTTTACTCTCTTTATCTTTCTATACATATATTCTTTATGGCATATACCTATATTGTGTAGTAGTATATTCTGCTTTTCATATTCCATTTTCTTAGAGTAGACTAGATTAGATTAAACTAGATGAAAAAACATTACACTACATTACATGACATGACATGACATTACATTATAGTAGAGTTTATTATCTGATGTTGTATATATATATATGTACACATATATATATATACTTCTTTATTTATCTATTTATTTGTTATTGTATTACAGCCCGTATTTTTGACCAGAGAGGCCTGACTCCGGGCTGCAGCAGCAGCTGACTGGAGGTTCTTCAAGTCCTTGGATGCTGAGGGGTGCCAAGGTGCTCTTCGAATCTGGTACTATGGGCCCTGTGTTTTGGAGCCCTTATACCCCATAGAACCCAAGGGCCCATATTCAAAAGACCCACATGAAGGCACCATGTCACTATACCACCTTTGAACTCACAACTCCCGCAAGCACCTATCAAACGCGATGACAGGCATGACGAAATCATCACCTCAGGCAAGCACCCACTCTTTTGGAGGCTCCTTCGTGCTCCTTACACCAGGACTCACACAGAGCTCCGCTTGCACGACGTTGTCACAGGAAGCTCAACTAACGGTTTTTTCATGTTTTGCCCACACAACTTTAAGCTCCCAAATGCTTCCACAGAACTGTACTGTGTTGCATTGATGTCGGTGCTGCTTCGTCGCTGCTTCGCGATTGAACCAAGCCCCCGGCCTTGCACCATAGATGCGATCGTGCTGCAGGATTCTGTCCCTGGCGTAATGACTAAGCCATTAAACTTCAGCTTGTGCGCCCGGGAATGTCCAGCGCATACAGTACCGTCCAAAGCTGGGCCTTTCTACAGTCACTGGTAGGAAGAAACATGAATACAGGAGATGGACTAACAATAGCACGCAAACCTTGAAAACCAAGCATCCCAGAAGCTCTCAGACGGCCGCTGCCCCACTCGGCTCTATATCTCAGCGCTTGCAGCATTTTGCAGCTGCTTTGGGGGGGGCTTCGGGGCAAAAGCAGGTCGGGAACGCCGCACGGATGCGGGCATCTGCCTGGCAGACTTGGACAAGGCGGCCCGTTCATTTGCTGGATGGGCAAAGAGCATGCAGGAGCAAAAACAGCCCATCAATGTCATCCCGTCGTTGCGCCGAGCAGCCCGACAAACTCGTCGTACTCGCTCTTCCCAATTGACTTGCACGCCTGCCAGGTGGGCAGCACAACATTCGGCCGTGTGCTAGGCTAAAATCACAGCGACCCCAAACGTGCTTCTCCTCTCATGCCTCTCCAAGGCTATCGAAAGTCTTTGCAGAAGCCAACAAATGCTGATGATGATGATGATGATGACGACAACGGCGGTGATGACAAGCAAATTGTACCAAATGTCGTCACCATGTATGGTTCGGACGAAAACGATGTCAGCCAGGACGGTCCCCAAAACTTGCTGCATCACGAGTCTGAGAGGTTTCCAGGAGGCTTGAGGTCCTGGGACCCCCCTCCCCCATACAGCCCGCACGCCCCGGCTTGGGGTATTCAGCGGTTCATCAAAATTCGGGGGAGATATACCCCCATTGATTTTCCCAACAGCTTGTACCTTACTGCAGTGCTCTCTCCTCTATATATGTGTATATATATATATATATATATACGTATAGATATAATATATAGAGATATATATATATATATATTCATTTATTTATTTATGTATATAGATCTGCAGAGATATACATGCATCTCTCTCTCTCTCTCTCCCACACTCGGCAGACTCAACATGCTGAGTCCTTCGTCGCAAACCCCTCTGCCTCCAGCACCCGTGGGGCTTGGGGCCGGTCCTCGCAGGGCGGGGGGGGGGGGGGGGGGGGGCAACCGGCATGCTACCGTTGTCCCTCTAGCATTATGTTCTAATATGTTTTCGGATGGGCTTATGGGCAAAGGGGATAAGGTGACGGGTGTGAGCCCGGAACCCGAATCGATCTCACCTTGGGGTCTGCTGCCAGCAGCCAGTGGATCAGAGCGCAGAGTTTCGCGCTCCTGCGGGAGCGAAGTTCTGGGTGGCAGGCGTAGGTGCTTTCTTGTCTAGGTTCCGGTATGCTCGGGCTTTTGGAGGGTTCAGGGGTTTGGGGTTTAGGGTTTAGGGTCAGGGCATGGAGGCTTCAAGGTAGCTTTGAGACAAAACTGGAAGCCGTCCTGGCCATTGGGTGCTCCGACGGAATGAAGTACTTGGCGTTCCAAATTGCCATCGGCGTGGCGTTATCCTGGCATGGATGCAAGGGGCGATGAACCCCTCGCCGAGGTCTTCACGCCACCACCCCGACGAAATACCTGTACGCATCAGGGTGCATAAACTTATACCTTCGTGTATAAACATGTATCGTTGGCAGAGACTCCCACGATCGGACTAGAAGTAATTAAACTGCTGGCCGTTAAGTCCACAAAAGGCGCAGGGACAGCCCTCAAGAAGACGAGCTTGCAAGCTCCGGACCTGGAAGGGATGCCGATAGAAGGCAAGGGTGTAGAGGATGCATCCCAGCCTTAGTGCTCGCTACAATGGGAGATATTCTGGCACAACTCTTAAGGTGACCTCTGAGTGCCCAGCATCCAGATGTCTACTTGCTCTGTAATGGCATAGCCCTGCACACACGCAGTGAACTATGCCGGATCTCAGCACAGTCATCACAGCATGGAGCAAGCACGCAGCTGTGCGCGCTCAGTCTCTTGCAATCAAACAGAATGTGAGAAGAAGGCCCAATCTGCAGGGATTGAACATAAACTGTCCAGATGCGTTGGGGCTCAGCGAAGGAATCGTCACAGACTCAACTCTGCACCGTGACCAAGAGCCCGGGTTAACCACATGACGTGACCATATGCGGGACACGCACGAGCTTGGCGTTCACTTAGTGAGGGGGTTGAGCAACCCGAAGCCCCTCTACTAGTATCGGATTTGTGCAGCTCCGATCCTTCCGGTAATTCAGCTGCACGTCCGCCATTTCGGGGGGCCTGTGTGCCAGTGGGTCGTCTCTCAATGAGTAAACGAAGAGCTTCCCGACTGGTTTACAGAGGCCATGGATAAAACATCTGACTTGTGAACAGGGTTGAGAGACTGCAAGGCATTGACGGGAGCGGAGAAGCAAGTCGGTGCGAGTAGCGCACAGGTGTTAACCTGAAAACTTTAACCACCCACAAGCCCTTCTGCCTCTGGTCTTCGTGCTGTTATGACAGTGGATGCTGAGAAACAGGTATTTCTCAAGATGCACTATTTGTCAGCACTCGTTTCCCATCCAAACCTCCCGCAGCGAAAGCTCTAAACAGCGCTGCGTTGACACGATTCCAGCGCCTGTACAGCATTGTCACGGTCTTGTCAATCTCCTCCTCGGAGATAATCACATCAGCTAATCGCAGGGAGTAGAAGGGACTCCGTGAGATATTCCAAGTCAATACTGTACTCAGTACTCCGACTCTGGCCTTAGGTCTACATCGGTCTACAATGCCGGGAACCACCCCACGACCTTGCGCAGCGTTTCGGGATCGTTTTCCGGGCGCCTGTAGGCGTTGGAGTTCGCCCCTGGGCAGCTCATGGCCTGGAACACAGGCCGTACCTCGCGTTCCGCAGCCACAGCCACAAGACATTGTTTGGAGGCGTGTGATGCGTGAATTCCTTCTTAGGTCTGTTTGGGGCCCACTCACGGCCCCAACCCCCTCACCTGCCATCGCTGGACCGTCACTGACCACATCAAGCAGTCGATGCCATCGGCGGGCTGATAACAGCTGGCAAGTGTTATCTCCATGCGGCCATTCGGCCCAGGTCAGGCACTTGGAGGCTCTTTTGATTGCTGAAAGTTCGTCCTCGAAAGTTCCTCCTTGCCGTTGTCTCAATGACAGCTAACCTGAAACTCCCCGGGCCGTCCCGTGGCGCACTACAAGAACCGAAGTCGCAGAGCTTCCAGTTCCCGTCGCTGCCCTGCGTTGCTAACTTGGGAGAGAAGATGCGGTGAGTAGAGTCATTAGAGGCATGATTGAACACGGGCGCCAAACCAAAGCGCATGATGTTTATGTCAAATTGGCCCCGAACGACGTTCGCAGCAAACACTAGGACAATTACATGTCTCCCTTCAGAAGGTCCCAGCTGCTGGGTCTCAAGTTTTTCTGCAACTGCCAACTCGGCTGCCGCCGTTGACTTGTGCTTGGGTACTAGGATCTTGCTTAGTTCGGGGTCTGGTTTGGAGGGCTGGCACTAAGTGTGCTCCAAGTCTCATACACTACCCAACGCATGAGACTACCGCATTGGGGCGATTTGGGGCTCGATGCCGTCACTACGTATCCAATCACGTTTGGTCAGCAATCGGTCTTGCACACACAAGCTGCCGACAGCGATCACTACAACAGCGATTCCTGCCGTAGTAGCACGGACAACCTTCACTGAGCCACCCCTTTTCTGCGGAATGCCTGCAGCACGTTCTCCACCTTTAGGTCACGATGCTGGATCGGGGGCCTGGGTCACGTCTCGAGTTTTATAATCGGCCTGCAGGCGGGTAAAGGATCAGCTTCGGCTCTCGGCGCCCTGCCGCTGTGCATGTAGATGACGGACCTGCAGACTTTGTCCCATGACTCTCCGACGTCCTAAGGTCCTAAGGTCCTAAGGTCCTAAGGTCCTAAGGTCCTAAGGTCCTAAGGTCCTAAGGTCCTAAGGTCCTAAGGTCCTAAGGTCCTACCTGTGCGTCTTCAGGCTGCGCATTAAAAGCCTCAACATGCTTCAACCATCCCCTGCACCCGACAGGACTCGGTCCCCCTGCCGCTTCCGTCACCTGCACGAAGGGATCCATCATCTCCTGCCCAGAAGCTTGCAGAACCAGATTGTCATACAAATGGGGGGGAGGAGGTCAAACAAGCTGACTTCAAGCATGGGAAAGGCCAACTAGTTGTGTGTTGAAGTTCCTTCCAGCCGAAGGCAGGGCTCAATGGAGGCTCGAAATTTGCCTGAACCACATGAACCCATTGACCGTGCACCCTGTATGGTCAACGCAAGCGGTCCTTGGGCGACAGCTTTCCGCCTTTGGAGTCCTCCGGTGCAGAAAATTTCAGCATCGAGCTCTCTTTGCAGCTGGGACTGCCACGATGGTCTCGTTGGGGAAGCATGAAGGCAGTTTCCTAAACTCTTGCCCCCTTTTAGGTGCCCATTAGAAGGCGGCACCCTGTCAAAAAGGGGCCCTCAGTTAGAGAACTACCCACAAGGGTAGATAAGAAACCTGAAAGTCCAAGCTGGCAAGGCCTAAACCCTAAACTTTTAAACCCTAAACCCTACACCCTACACCCTACACCCTACACCCTAAACCCTAAACCCTAAACCCTAAACCCTAAACCCTAAACCCTAAACCCTAAACCCTAAACCCTAAACCCTGACCCTAAACCCTAAACATCCCTAAACCCTATAAACCCTGGCCTGGAAGTCCAGGAGGTGGCCATTGCAAAGCTCAAGGAGCAGCTTGACGGTGCCGCTGCCGCCTGACGCTACTTCCAGGTCCGAAAGCGTTGGGGGACTCATGATCAGTGGAGCGGAAAGGTCCCCAAAAGTGCACGCCTCACTCCTCCAACACCACCCCCTATGTCTGGACCTAATGTAGCAAGCCCAACTTACACTTGATCACGCACTGTACCCGGATCCCCTGGGGCCTGATCGCTGCGGGGCATCGATGGAAAATCCGAAGCAGCGGATGATGTTCTCGTGCGGCGGCAGTTCGCTCAGGATCTGCGCAGGGCGGGCCGAGCCGGGGGCTGTGAGGTGCAGATCCGAGAGGTCTGGTCCAAAACTGCCCTCCAACAGTAGCGCCGCAATACGAGCTTTTTCGGCGTCGGCTCCCTACGTGTAACAATTGCGACAGCTTCCGCAGAGCTTGTGCCCTTCAGGCGTCCCGCATTTAGTGACCCAAGCAGCAGCGCAACGGCGGGGCCCGCTCAGGCATGCTCAGGACCCAGAGGGCGGCGGAGGGCGCAGATGTAGGACCACACCATACATCACCATACCACCTCGGCGTGGCTTCCTAAAAGCTTTGGGGCTGCCTGTGAGGCTTAGAAGGGAACCCTGCACTGAAGGCAGCTTTGATCCCGACATGGGTGCCCCAGGCGACTCTTGCCTCTTGCTGTCCGATGCAATCCCCCCTTTTTTCTCGCCTCGAGTTGGTCGGAATCGATCTCAAAGCCCGCGCAATCACGGACGAATTCGCAACGAATGGTACAGTTTTGCACATCGGGGAATGAATAACGATTCTGCCGGTGGGGAAGGAGGAATCCTTGGAAAACAAACGAAGGATTTGGCGCAAAGCCGCCTTACGATTCCCACCTCCCTGATGCCCGGCAGCTGTTAAGGACAGTCATAGCGTAGCAGCGTGGGCGCACAGAGATAGAGGACACGTCATGGCAAGTGCATCCTGCAAGCATAGAAAGCTTCGGATGTTCCTGCATTCCTGGAGCCCCTGCTGCATTTGCGAAGCTCGGACTTTCAATCGCCGTGCACGGGGGCCGAAAAAGTTTCGTCTGCTCAAACCGCTTGGTCAAATGCCCACGTCGGACCCATGCAAGACGACATGGCCCTTCTCGAAACGTCACAGTTGGAGCTCCATTGCTCGCTTCAAACACTCTTCAAACCCGCTCAGACTCGGCGTGAATCTCATCACCTGAGATACACACAGACACAAAAATCACCGAGCAAAGCATCATGTCGAGCTCGGTTCGCACGCAAGCTCAGGCTCTCAACTTCGAAACCGATATGCAGTTCTGAGCCGAGTGGCGTTCTGCCTCCTTCTTCAGCTCCTCTGGTTTCAGCGGCGCAATACCCAGATCGAGCGTCATGTCAACGAACCTTCCAGAGCAAAGACTGTAAACTCACAAGGCCGGATAAAAAAAAAAAGGCCTTAAGCCGGTCGTGACAGCCTGACAAGAACCTGTACTATCCTGGACTGATGGTTTAGGGTTTAGGGCTTAGGGTTTAGGGTTTAGGGTTTAGGGTTCAGGGTTCAGGGTTTAGGGTTTAGGGTTTAGGGTTTAGGGTTTAGGGTTTAGGGTTTAGGGTTTAGGGTTTAGGGTGCCAAGCAGAGCCATATACAAGCGCCCCCCGAGCCACTCTTCGAAGGAGATGGTGCCGTTTGCGTCCGTGTCGAACTTGTCGAAGAAGGCTTTCATGGCATCTTGGTCCACGGCCTCGTAAGACTCGCATGGGCACATGCGCCCCTACACCCTAAGCACGAAACCCGACATGAAGTCATAACATGAAGTCAAGCCAGTTCTTGGGCTCTCCGCCTTGTACTTGCGGCGCAGCTTCTTCGAAGGCACCGCAACCTCAGGGACCTGGAGTTCAGGGCCCAGAAGGTAGCTTCGGCTGTGATGTTGAAGTTTATTTGGAGTTTAGGGTTTAGGGTTTAGGGTTTAGGGTTTAGGGTTTGGGGTTTATTGAAGTTTCGACACTAAAGCGACGGGGCACCTGCTCGCCGGTAAAGACCTCAGGAGGCCCATCTTTGGCCATTCGCTTGCTGAGGTTGTCTGCGACCCAGTCCTCGGTGAAACTGGTGACTGCTCCGGATGCTGGGGTCTGAGAACCTAAGAGCCCAGCGGCCTAGCACTGAGCTCTTTAAAATTCGCGTCCGGACGGCGTTGACAAACTATTTTGACCCCGAGCGACCACGAACGCCTCCGTGGTGAGGCCCTCAGGTCCGTTGAGGTCGCGAGTCCCTTTGCCCGTGCGGAAGGCCTTGCTTTTTTGGCATTCAGCATTCAGCATCATCCAAAGTTTCTGTCTGATTAACCGAAACAGGCTCTGAGGGGCCTCGTAGACAGCCTCGCGGACACTCACAGTGAACCTTGCAACGTAGAACAGTCACAAAGTCATTGCTCGTTGGGTTGCATTACCACAAGCTGCGTAGAATATTGAGACGCCCTGCAGTCTGAGCCCCGCACTTTGTTACGTCCGCCTGGCTTGCCGGATTGAGGACCTTCACAGCAGAGCCCAAGCTCGGGAAACGTTTTCTTCGATCTTGTTCAGAAAGCCAATGGACCAATTTAGAGCCTCTTCGTTTTCGGACGCGGCAGCATCACTAGCAGTCAACCAAAGAAGAGGGTACACTTCTGCTCCAATCGACGCTTTTGTTGAATGAGGCCAGGAACATTCTTGCGAGGTATGATTATCATGCGGCACACGATTGGTAAACGCAGCATGTCGGCTTCACACGTGTTTGTAAACCGTTGTAGCGAATGACAAACACAGAACATGTATGCTCAGGCCTCTAGACGCGTTTAGGACCGCTGGCTTTCACATCGCTTGTTGTCTTGTGTTCAAGGTTTAATGGTTGAGACGACTCGCTGCGACTCTTACTATAAAGGTTACAAGCGGCCCAAGAGAATGGGGCATTCGGTGCGACGTTCGCTACGATTGCAGTACGATCTTTGATACACCTTTGCAACCACGGCAACGCTTGTGCACCCTTCATCCTGCAACAAATCTATCCATTCCTTGTGTGCCACCCCTGAACCCTAAACCCTAAGCCCTAAACCCTAAGCCTTAAACCCTAAACCCTAAACACCTGTAGAAAGCCTCTCACGTAAGTGCTCAAGCTTTTCGATTGCTTCGCGTGGGATGTGCATCCAAGGCCGCCACAGCAGCATGGTCCATCGCACCCAGCCTTCGGCTGCCCAGAATCTTCGAGGCTTTTGGGGTTTAGGGTTTAGGGTTAAGGGTTTAGGGTTTAGGGTTTAGGGTTTAGGGTTTAGGGTTTAGGGCTCTTTTTTTAACAACCCTGTGCACCTTTTCTGGGTTTAGGGTCTTCGGTTTGGGGGCATTGGTTGAGTTGAGGTGGGAATGTCCTAGCACGCAGCCGTCTTGACAAGACTGCGGCGCGGCCGAAGAACTTGGTCCTGGAACCAAAGCCGCCCAAAGCTTTTGCCGGGGGGCAGCGCCACCACCATGCCCAATGGATTCATGGAGGTCTCCTCGTACCAGGGTTTAGGGTTTAGGGTTTAGGGTTTAGGGTTTAGGGCTTAGGGCTTAGGGCTTAGGGTTTAGGGTTTAGGGTTTAGGGCCCGAAGCTACAACGTGGCGTACACTCTCTAGTAACTCTAAGCACCTACACCTTGGCCCAAGATGTGACTCTTGGCAACAATACATCGCCCCAGCCTCCCCACGGAGATGCATGTGCCACAGGTCTGCCACCTGCCACACAGGAATCCGGAACCCACCGCAACATCCGTGCACTCTGCCGCAGTCAAAACTGCAGCAATCCGCTTGGCAATCCTCATCTACACACCCTCATGGTTCGAAGCTGGGACGAGCAGCGCTCCCGAAGGTAGAATTCGAGCTCTCACGGGCCGGGGCCCCTGCAGTGCCATGGGAGGCTTCGAACTCCTTGATGAGGGAGCCATCCTCACTCTTGCCCACCAAGTTCCTGGGACAAGTGGCTGTGCTGGTAGGCGTCCGACAACTAAAGACGCCGGACTGTTGCAACTGAGAATGGCGCTCCAGATTTCTTGAGCAGATGCAACCCTTCGCTTCTAAAGACAAAACCGATCCGGCACGACTGCCTTCGTGCCCTTAGAGCAGGAAGTGCATCTTGCGGTGCCGACAACAGCAGCCACTAGCAACGCCGAGCATCGATGTGATGAACCCCGGACTTCGGTGGACCTGCACTGCGCAGCTCAAGATCTGCAACATGTTGCTGATAATCACGAAACGCAGTCGGGGGTTTGGTCGGGGGGTTGGAAGACTCTCAGGGCACGAACTGTCAGCCCTCACCCTCGTCTGTGCACTATGCCTTAGCAACTGCAAGCTCCGTCAGCGTGTGCCACTGCCGGCTCAGACATCATGCTCTAGAGCTGCGGTACTGCACACAGACACACGACGAAAAACCGTTTACGAAGCTGCTCCTGATACATTTGTTACTAGTGAGTCTTAGTAACTCTTGTAGTATTGGGCGCATTCGCACATTAACATTGTTAAGAATACCCACCAACACTTCATTATTAAGACTACTAGCATTATTAGCGTTGGGATGATTGCATGTTTAGCAATCATGAGCATTAGTTCCTAGTACCATGATGTACCAGGAGTCTTTGTAGTCTTACAAGTACTATTAGTAGCATTCGCATGTTTAGTATTTTGAGCAACGTGAGCATTACGAGTCTTACCAGCATTACGAGGAGAATGCGCATTGTGTGAGCATTGTCAGCATCATGAATATTGTTGGTAATTGCCGTTGAGTATGACGAGTAGCATCATCATGATTCGCATTGTTTTATATGGTTAATGTACATTCAACCTCAGGCAAACAAGGCTCGGGCCTGTGCGACCTCATCGGTCAACATGTCACCGTCGTAGTTGTGGCAAGCCATGCCAAAGCCTCCTCCAGTCCTTCTGACTCCACGCGACATAACGATTCACTGCTTGCGACCAACCTCAAAATCTGACGAAACCCTTGAAACCCTCTGAAGCCCTTGAGAAGCCTGATCTGGCCTGATCCTGCTGCTCTGTTATGTTACCTTCCAAACCTTCCAGATCTTTGCAGCCGCAACATTGACACCACATTCTCACCAAACATGCAATCCCCCTGCTGGTCCAACGGATGATCTGCATGGTCGCGGCATCCTTGCAAGAAACTGTGGTCTAAGGCTCTATAGGTTGAGTGTCTAACGGCCATGGCAGTGCGAATCCGTGCAAATTGTCGCGCTAAGGGTTAAGCAAGAAGAATACCAACTTCGGAGCTGAAC